TTGGGGTCTCCACCCGAGGCTGTCCCAACGTCAAGTCGACTCTGCCAAGGACCCGCGAGTAGCTTTCCGTCCTCCAGCTGTACCACCCGGGCCATGCCGTGCCCTTGAACCTGCAACATTCCGCTCCCAAATTCTATCTTTAGTAATTGGTTACAGAGTATCTTAGAACGATCCATCACATAAACCCATCCGGCCTTTGTCCTCTTCCACTCTGCCTCTTCTTTTCTTCTCATGCAAAGCTTCGTCGGAGAAGGTGCCCGATCATTCGTGCATGAAAAATACCAAAAAAAGGCGTCTACTTTGCATCGCCTTATTGCTTCAGCCTCCCAATCCAGCTTGTGCCAGTGCTAATAAGGCGGGAAGGCAGAATCTTTCCCCTGTCACCCCCCCGCAGACCAGCTTGCACGAGGCTAGGAACCCAAAGTGCGAAGATCATCCGACCACCCGGGGAAAACTTTCCAAGATGCTCGGCCTGGGCACCCAGTGCCTATCTTTCCATGGCTCTGGGAAGGCTTGCTTGATCCTACACGATGGATCACAAAAAGCCAGGCCAATCCGTTGCCTGTTGTCAATTTGTGATCCCGTGTCATGATGGATGGCGAGAAGGAGAGGAGAGGAAAACATGGCATGTATTCGAAACGGGCCTCGTCGGGCCCATCTGCTTCAGGATCTGCAGGAAAATAAGCCACCAGCAGCAGTCCGCCAACCGCCGCCGCTGCCGAAAAGCCCCGTGCCGTACGTCCTTCCGTAGAACATCGAATCCGTCGGAGGAGGGTGGGAGCAAGCTTCCACCAAGCCACCACTCCCTCCTATTCCCAGAGTCACCTTGCCGAATCACCCGCCGTAGATCCCCGGCGGACGCGCACGGGGGACGGACTGTCTTCTGCCTGCGTCCAACCCCGTGCTACCTTCCCCCATCCCACCCCCTCCACTCCATCATGTCGTAGGTAGTCTGTTGGGCCCATCCATGCGGTCTCCTACTCTCCCTCCTTTGCCCAAAAGGGCCCCATCTGGATGGAGCGTACCCAAATGTCATCCCGCCGTCATTCAGGCACCGCCATCTGCGGAAAATAAAATAAAGAAATAAAACTTGGAACGAGACCAGTCCACCCCCGCCATGTAACCCCGCCATGTCGACGCCGTGCCTGATTTACCGGCCCCGTCTGGACCCGAGATCTCGTGCCCCAGACTCGCGGTTGCGGAAGTGCCAAGGGACGAGTCAGCAAACCCCGCATGTGGCCAGTCTATGGGGTAATGAGGGGGTAATACCGGGGTTTCGAGGGGGTAATGAAAACTCCCATATTTCGTAATCCGAGGCGAGTAGCTCGAGCACGTTATTTTGCATTTGATGACGGATGGAACAAAGGAAAAGCTTTTTCATTAGTTTTTTTTTCTTCGAGATTTTCATTATGACGATGCAGGTTTGGGGAACTGAAATTGTAAGACTGACATCGATGCTTCAGTGGGCACAAGTATACAGTACTTGAGTGAGATACTTACCGAGGGTTGAAGGGAAGTATATCGAAATTATGTCTTTGATTCACAACACGACACAACATGAAGTTTTCGAGATCCACTAAACACAAGTTTTCGGAGAAAAAGAGGACCCTTCCTCTTTGACACTGAAATGGTGCATTCTCCTTCGTCTCACCTCTCTCCCCAACTCCATGGTGGGAACAGCTGATGCTTCCATGGTATCTCAGTGGTCAGTACACACACAGCTCTGACTGTGACTCTCTGCTTCTAAGAATGGTGCCAGCTGTGTAGCGTGCCCCGCCGGCCGGAGCTCCATCCGAACCCCTCATTGGAGGAGGGGCGGACCACACGCGCGGGAATTACTGCGTCTGTTCATTGAAACATCATGACTTCACTCGTGTTTTCCCCTGGTGAAAACTGCTGACCTAGACCAACGTGCCTAATCTTGTATGTCATAAACGGAGGGATATCTGAAGCCGGTTTAATTCAAGGATCCTGACACACACAATCAAGGGCCACCACTCTGCTATTCGACCAAGGTGAAGCGGAGAAAAGAACCAGGACACAGGTATCGACGGCCATCTCGGTTTCCCCACCCCCCGCTTGAGACTCTCCAACCTCAGTCCTCAAGCCAAGGTCAGACAAAGGTTGTCCTACCAAATCTTGGTCAAAGGTCATCCACTATATCCTACCCCTTCTCTCGACATGGACCTCGACGCTAGCATCAGGCAACGCGCCGAAGCCCTGGACCAGGAAGATGCGCTGAGGCACACGCGGGATGAGTTCGTCATCCCCACGAAGCAAGAGATAACCAGTAGGACCCTTGCCAAGAAAGGTCAGCAATTGGGACATCATTCTAATGCATCAGAAGACACTCATCATCCTTCAAATTCCCTTAACCCCCTTCACATGCCGTCTTGCCACTCAATGCCTCTAGAGGAAGGAGCTAACGCCATTCACAAGGAAAAGATGACGGCTCTGCCACATCAGAGACCGGTCAGCAGAAGTGCACCTACCTCTGCGGTAACTCCCTCGGTCTGCAACCCAAGCGCACCGCCGTGAGGATACAGCAGTATCTGTCCACCTGGGCAACGCAGGGCGTCCAGGGACACTTCAAGCCTCTGGAAGACTCCCCTTTGCCGACATGGCTCGACGTCGACGCTAAGGCGGCCAAGATGATGGCGCCCATCGTTGGCGCTGACGAATCTGAGGTCGCCGTAATGCAGACCTTGACGGCCAATCTCCATCTTCTCATGTCGGCCTTTTATAAGCCCCAGAAGGAGGGTAGGCACAAGATTATCTTGGAGAGCAAGGCCTTTCCGAGTGATCATGTAAGTTTGGTTGCTTTTTCAAACCAAGACGAGGGATGAAACCAAGGATGGGCGAGACTGACAACTCACACAGTTCGTCGTGGAGACCCAAATCAGACACCACGATCTCTCCCCGTCAACATCAATGATCTGCATCGAGCCCCCACCAACCGCCCTGGAATCAACCCTCGCAACCCAGCACATCCTCTCCGTCATCGAAGCTCACGCCTCCGACGCGGCCCTTATCCTCCTGCCGGGGATCCAGTACTACACCGGCCAGCTCCTCGACATCCCCACCATCACCGCCTTCGCGCACAAGCACTCCATCCACGTCATCTGGGACCTCGCCCACGCCGTCGGTAATGTGCCGCTGCAACTCCACGACTGGGACGTCGACGCCGCGGCGTGGTGCACGTACAAGTACCTCAACGGCGGGCCGGGTTGCATCGGCGGCGCCTTTGTCAACGCGCGGCACACGGCGGTGACGACCTCGGTCGGGGACGCGGACTCGGAGAGAGGGTTTGTGAACCGCTTAGGCGGGTGGTGGGGCAACGATAAAGCCTCGCGCTTCGTCATGGCGACCAAGTTCCACCCGGCGGCCGGCGCGGCCGGCTTCCAGCTGAGTAACCCGAGCGTGCTCGACATCACGTCGCTGTGCGCCTCGCTCGAGGTGTTTGAGCTCGCCGGCGGCATGGCGCCGCTCCGCGAAAAGTCGAAGCGCTTGACGGCGTTCTTGGAAGTGCTACTGCAGAACTGGCTCGGCGCCGAGTTATTCAGCGTCATCACGCCGTCAGGAAGCGAGGAGCGTGGCGCGCAGCTGAGCTTGAAGCTCGTGGACGGGCTGTTGGACGGCGTCATGGAGTACTTTGAAGAGGTTGGCGTTGTGATTGACGAGAGGAAGCCGAATGTCATCAGAGTTGCGCCGGCGCCGTTGTATAATACGTTTGTGGACTGTGTCGACTTTGTGGAGCACTTCGGCAAGGCTTTGCAGAGAGCCAGCGATAAGGCGTAGACTTAAACACGCTTATGTCGTAAATGATGGAACTACAGTAGCCAGTTTCTATGTTTGGACGAGCGTTGTCGGACAGTCATCGACAAACGCCAGTTGAAAACGACTGAGAGGGCAAGACTTAGCATGGGCAATATTTCGAAGCCGAAACTCAGGACGCCATGGTTTCTGAAATGTTAGATCAAATATTCAAAGTGAAACCGCATCAAAATAATAGATGATAACAAAGTGCCAAATCAAGGTTTCTCTGAAGTGCCCTCGCCTCTGGTGTAGCGATTACGCCGCGGTTCCCAGGAAGTCAGGCACCATATCGAGACCTTACAGATCTAATTTAAAGCTTTCCAGGCTCATTATCGCAATGTAATGAATATACTTACGCACGAAAGATCAGAGGCAGGTCCAGGGACACACAGCACGCGTGACGAATCAGCATATATGGAGTCAGTAGTGTATTGTTTTCTCCAATAACAAGTTCATATCCAACATCACTTGGTACATTTGAGTATATCAGGTTGGTTCTTATTCCTTGGACGGCACTTACCTCTAGGCGGGTAGCCGCAATGAGCAGGGAGCCGCTCTAGATACCTATGGAAGGCATTCATGAGAATCCCATCCGCTTTTATCTTCTCAGCATTCTCCAACTTCCTTCCAGTCAAAGTTGTAAGGGAGATAGTGGCTCCTCCTTCCACACAGCTGCTCCTTCCTCACTTACATAGGTAGGTAGGCACGTAGCTCCTTCCATCTGAATAACTGGTGAGGAATACGTTCCTGTGACCGCCTCAGGTCACGCGGGTGCACGGTTGGAGGTAAGCACCCCAGGCAATCTGCCCAGCTCATCCCTTGTGTGGTTACCTTTTTCGTCGAGCCCATTGTTTACTTTCTCGTCCTTTCATCATCACGTTGCTCGGAGACCCTCTCAAACATCGCCAGCCCACACTCCCACACATCCCGTCATCTTACCATCCATACTTGCCCAGTGCTCGGGAAGTCAATCTTCAGGCCTTGGCTTGTATTTTCGGGGGTCCGTGTCTTGGTCATTTTTTGCCCTCCTCACTTGCCTTGAGATTGGCAGTCTGTCGCACCTCCACAATCTCGTCCTCGTTGGGCCTCACCCCTCCGCGCCAATCCCTTGATCCTCCAGCTTTACCCCAAAATGAGCGAGAGATACGATCATTGGAAATCTACACGCTGAGTGGTCGTCTAATATGGAAGATAACTTTACTCACCACCGTCCTGTCCCGTCTCGACGGTCATCGGACCAACGGCAGAAGCCTCCCCAATGTCCCCCCGAGCCGAGCAGTGCGACGCTTCCACCTCTCCGGCCTTCCAACCTCACCCCGCGCCGATATCATATCCCACAAGGTAGCATATCACGTTCTCGCGGTGCCGAGGCCGGGTATTCTCTACATAGCACGAACGGAAGTCAGCAATCGCCAGCTTCTCAGGCAGCGCTTCGAGGGCTCGGTAGCTCCTCAGCAGCTTATCAGCAGACTCCAAGAACTCTATTTCCTGGAGATTCAAACCTGGCTTCTTGCGGTCCGATTGATTCACCATCGCACTTTGCGTCAGTTATCGATCGCAATCGGAACAGAGTCCCGAGCGCACCCTCGCATTCGAGTGCTTCCTGGAAATCTGACCGAAATGCAACTTCGCACGACTTGGCCGAGCATCCGAAGGACTCTCGAGAGAAAACTCGGGAAACTCGTCTCAATAAGGCTCCTGCTGTTCCTAATTCGCACGTTACGACCAGACCGAAGGCTACAGTCCAGGTCGCCGACAGCCTGTTCGTCGACCAAGGTCGTTTACATCGCGGTAATCCGCTGCTAGACAACCTTTCTGAACACATTCACACGCCTTCGTCGCCTTTGAGAATTCCGTCGTCTCCCAACGGCGACCATATTGCGAATCTTAGATTTCAGGACAAACTGCAGAGTCGGGCCTTCAAAACTGGCTTCTTTCCAGACCCTGAAGAACACGAGAGTCCCGGAAGCACCAACAGAATACCGGTAGAGGTAACCGCCTTAGCCAATGAAGAGAATAATGCCCTCCAGGAGGGACTTGCAGCAATCAAGGTGTCCGGATTCATACTTGAAGATGATATCGAAGAAGGCTGCCATGCTTCTAGCATGAATAAAGTGAAGCACACACGAAGTACAGCTATGAAGCCCAAAACAAGTGTCCGCCCTCGCGCATCACCACTATCTTCGATTCTAGTCAGTCATGATGCCGAGTCACAGAGTCTTCCCAAGAAACAGTCAGCGCAGAATTCTGCAGCACGCCCGCGATCGAGCTCCACCCATGGCACCGGTCAAGGGAACGCTGTGGCTACCGCAAAGAATTCGACCGTCTCAAGAAGCTTCAGTCTGAAGTCCCATATGATGGCCAAGGCACACAAGCCTTCAATCCGAGTTGTTACCGTTCCGCAGCGAAGCAAGCCAACCCGTCGAGCACAACGTCAGGATGACCCCCATTCAGAGACTTAGAACGACTTGCAAGGGGATATTCAGTCGACAACAAGGCAACAATCGAAACGAAGCCGGAATGATGTCACAACCAAGAAGTCTTTGACAGATCTAGGTTCCAACAAGCGCAACTCTGAAGCCTGCGCGGCCATCTCGGCAGTAACGAGGGGACAGGATACTCACAAGACACCCCCTAGTGTAGTAGTGTGTGGAAGAAGTACCCCAGGCGCAAACACATCGTCATCACTCACATCTACTCTTGCTACTCCAGGTCGATCTTTCCCCACAACACCAAGCAAGAAGCCGAAAGTCTTGAATCAGCGTAGAACGGACCCCGACACCTTGAGCCTGGTGGCCATCAAGAATTTACCAGGCCCCTTGTACGAACCCGAGCGCCCCATGTCTGGGTTCGACAACAATAAGTATGAATACGACGAAGATAGTGACAGCTCTTTTGCTTCTTTTGGGCAGATTTTTTCGACTGTTTCAACAACAGGCAGACTTAAGAGTCCTACACTCTCTATGTCGACAACAGCGGATGCATCCAGCTATGTTAAATCACCAACATCACCCTTATTCCAGTCTCGAAGTGAGTGAAATGTTGCTTTGATTAATTCTCCATGAAAGATCTGAATCAACTGACAACACCATAGAACTTGGCTGCGATACCCATGATCCTGCCTCGGTCAAGCCACCAATTGCCCAAAACAAAATGTATCACCCTATGACCGGTAACCGCTGTCCTATGTCAGAAGGTGAAGAACTGGCTCGCCGTCAGCAGGCTACAACCTCGCAGTATAAGGACCGGCAGGCAGGGGGCTCACACATGCCTAGTCGCATAGGACGAGCACAAGTGCACCCAGGAAATAACCCGGCATCATCTGAAAGACAGCTCGTCGAGGGGCTCAGATCTCCCGGTGGTTGGCACACGCGGAACCCCAAAAGAAGCGTCTCGTGTGTCCTCTCCCCGAAGTCGATTCAGGAGCAAGAACCAGAGAAGAAGCGCATACGTGACAAAGAGGCGTCGCTTCGCACTGAAGTAAACAATCGCCAACGGACTAAGGGGTCCGGTTGGGCGACATCGTCTCACAGAAATAACCCTACACCTCGGTGAGTCATGTTTGAGCATATCATCGACATTGCTAAAAGATCCGGTGACATGCCCGTGGCTAACGCAAATGATGTAAGAAACCCAGTCGCCGATGTATGGGAAACCCCTGAGGTGTACGTCGAAAGCGTCGAGGACCATGTCAAGACCCTCCACAGAGCCATCGGACCGATGAAGAGGCAGAGATTGGAAGGAATGGCCAGATTGAATATGCAGAGAAAGTTCAAGAAAGAGCAGCACTCCGACGACGGTTCCCCAGCCCTTTCGAGCACAGCGGCCACGACGAAACGAGCAAGTGGTCTTCCAAAATGATTATTCTTGAACCATATGTCTCTCATAGGGGTCTCCTATGTATTGCAGTCCCGAGCTTGCTACTACGGGATGGTTGAAGTACTTGATTGGATTAGTCGGAAGGCCGAGAGGGAGATCAAGTTCCAAGATCGTGTTATTGGATGCTGGTCGTGGATGAAATGCATCGAAAACTGTGGGATTACCTGCGGATTGGGATGTTGGAATAGGGAGGAAGCTTGTTAGTGTTGGCTTTGTTGATGTGCTGGCAAGACGCCATGAGTTTTTGACATTGTTTCGAAGCTAGGTAATTACAAGTAGCTTCCCGTTCCAAGAGCCGAACATGACAATGAGATCCATAAAACTGAGATGGATTGCCAGTCTTTTGCCTCGATGCCGATATCAAGAGGTCTGAAAACGTATTTGGACAGGCAGTAGTCAACCCATGAACCATTGCTCCCTACCCTAAACCCCTAGCTCTTCGTCAATTTCTCATTTCGTCGAGTGGAATTATCCGTCAGCAGGTTCTTGCGACGATCACAATTTGAGATAGATAGCAAAAACACACAGGTCTACATCACTTGGTGGCGGCACTTGCACCATACACATGGACAAGACTCTATTGTTTCTTATACACCAACACGTGTCAGACTCAACGCCCACGGTCTACAGCGCTTGGTATAGTATAGTCTTGAGATGTTTGGAGCAGCGCGCATGGTCATTGCGAGAACCTGCAATATGCCCAGGCAATCAATGGCTTCCTTGTAATTCTACACTTGCAACTGCAAGGCAGCAGGAAAAGAGTTGTCACTGTGGAAGGACCGGGAACGAGACAATGTCACGAGTATGAGCCGACTCACGAGGGAAGTGCCGCTCACACTGATTTCATGGCGCGCGCGTCTTCTGACTGAAGACCATGGCCTTAACGAGCTCAAAATCTCCTTGGCTTTAAGAAAACCAACCAGATCAGTCAAGGTTTGGCAACACTCGGGAGCAACCGTCGCGTAGCAACTTTTCGCACTCGCTCTACAAGACATGGGAAACGGCAACAGAAGCCCGACGCGCGGCTCTGGTGCGACGACAAAGATGACTGGGAAGATGCAGAACTTGAGGTGAGATGAGGTCAGTTCGGAGCTCGGATGAGTTAGCATCGGGACGGTGGTGGTGGTGCGGCAAGGTCCTCCCGATTCGGATAGTAGATTCGCTGAGTAGATTGAGTTGGATTCGATTCTTATCGGCGTCAGCTGGTGTTTTAGCCAAACGACTCACTTTTCCCCAAATTAGATCAAGCCAGTTCCTTAAGGGGAAGGAAAAAATGGCCCGGTTTTAAATCTTGAGATGACAGGCGCACACGCACATGATGCTAATATTTACTGAGCACTGGGGCCGATACTTGGTTGGTAGGATCGCATTCTGTGGGCGATGTCGAACGTATGTCTCCACCTGGTCAAAACCGAAAAAGCTTCGGCACAGACTCTCTTGCTTCGGGAAGCAACTCAAGTCCGTGATGGGAGGGGCCACTCGGAATGATAGCGGATGATGTGCGGATGAGCTGCGAGCTGCGAGCTTAAAAAAAGGGCGGAAAAAAGGAAAAGAAAAGGGGGGCCAAAAGGAGGGACTCGGCCGAGCGAGCCACGGTTCGGATCCTATGTAATGTAAGTATGGCGTAGGGCGTCAGATCGGCGAGGCTCTAGCGTCGAAGTTTATCTGGGATGGAATTTTCGACAGAGAGGGGATCTGTGGAAGAGATGGGCAGTTGTCTTTGCCTCTTCCGGAATAAGCGGCGAACCAATCCTGCCATATTAGGTTTGGATGTGCGCTCGACCGTGGTGCGGTGCGGCGGGTGGCCGGTTGATGGATGTTTGCTTAAGGGGTCTCGGACTTTTGGGAAATGATGATGAGACTTGCTCCTGAGGATCCTGAGGAGGGCACTGCAAATGGGGCCCGGGGAAAGTTCTGGGTGCTTCGTGTGGTGAGTTTTCCAACGTCAACGCATCACATTGTAAGCCGTGAACGGGCAGGTGAGCACGGTGTCAGGATTTTTTTTCCCTCTTAAGATGAACGATAAGATCTGGCGTATTGATCTTTTTCACTCCGTCTCGAAAGCATGCGAGACAGAAAAGGTTGCGTCTCGTATCTAATACCAGATAAGAGTTGGCGAGGTGTCAACAGGTCGTGCAGTGCTGCAGGATAGTGCAGCATGCGCTAGGTAGATGGTGACATGAACTCTAGGGTAAAGACGTTGGCGATTCAGGATAGCGTTTAATTATACGAGATGGTCCGAGGGGTTCGATGTGGGTGCTCTCCGGAATCATACGACAGAGACAACTTTTTTTTGGCCTTTTCTGAAAGACTGTCAGATGTGACAACCGAAAGACTGGGCCCTAATTCTATAGTCTCTTCCCAATTTGATGTTTGTCTTCTCGGTAGCGCATCTACTGGCGCGAAACTTTTGCCATGTGTAAATTAGCGATACAATAGCGAAAGAGCTGACCTCGACGCGACAGAGGTTCGCGATGGACGAATTTAGATGTTCTCTAGTGTTCTATACGGATGGATCGGCAGAGAGCCTGAAACTCACACACCAAGCGGGGTGGCATTGGGGGGAGGGGCCGCGCAGGGCTTGGATTTCCTTCATTCTCCAGGCGTCTGTCGATGATTGACCTGAATTCCTCGGAAGTGGGCGATGTGGGATACGGTCAAGTACAATTCTTAAATATGTCCACCGAGACTGTATGTTTCAGCCGAGGATAAGTGACCAAGTCAAGAGGAGATTTGGACGAGACAGAGGAAACAACGGGGTGGCTGTACCGCGGTCAAGAGTTGCGATGAACAATGTTGGATAGGAAGAGACTAGAGACGACGGCCAGACGGGCAGCAAAGGTGAGGAGGGGACGAGCCGAGAGGTAGCCGAGGATGATCGACGTAGGGCTTAATCTGTCGGGTGCACTTATCGGCGCCTTCATCGATTTGCCTTTTCTTGCCGAAAACCTCGTCGAGAGGCTAATATGCGTACCTAGCCTTGTAGGGAATTCTGTTTTTGAAATCGGGGGTCCGACGGGCTGCAAATGGCAGCTTGGACGCGATGGCAGCTGGTTTGCGGCAGCGACGAGTGGGTGTTTATCCATAACGTTAAATGATGAATGGCCCCCAACTGATTAGTCGAGGATACTGGTATTATTGGTTGGGCCTTTCGATATGACGGCGACGACTTGTTTGTAGGCTAAAATGCCTCATTCGCGTGTTGATACACTGCTGCCCGTACCCATCCGTGATGTGTCCAATGGAGCAGCTGGGGAAGTGTGGGGACGGGCTTCAAGGTGTACGATGGAGTCCTAGGTAAAAATGACGGAACCCCATTGGGAACGCACAATGGAAACGCGTAGAGGAGCGCCAATCATTCCGTTTCGATCGTAGAGGAGTCGGCACGCGCACGTCTGTGATGTCTCCGGTCTAGTCGGGTTGAGTTCACTGGCCATGACAGGCTGAGCGCTATACAAATTACAAACCGATGGAAGGCAGAGTTGCAATACCTAGTGTGCGCGATAGCATGTTCGGGTTGCTGGGTTCAAGGTCCAGTCGGGCATTTGTCTTTGCCAATTGTATTCGGGGGTAGCCGAACGGAGAGCTATGAATGGAGCAGCTAGGAGAAGACTGGGCCGATTAAGCAACGTTTTGCAAGGTGAGGTCGTGTAGATGAGATAGCTGGCGTGTTTCTGGGAGAGAGTTTGCATATTGACGGGTGCTGGTATTAACCCTGGAGAGGCCGTTTGGGCGAATGGGCGTTGCGGAGGGGGATGATGGTCGGGACTCTCTGCCGGAAAGCAGCTTTAGTTCGGGCATCCCTTACCAAGATATGTGGCACACGGTTGGCTGAGGTTCCTGGGAAGTTTGAGGTTAGCAGAAATGGTAAGGACAGGCAGGCCAGGTCGATTCGGCGGAGGGGAGGTGATACAGGTCATCCTTAACCTTGTGCAGGCAGTGGTTGGGATTGAGCAATATGGTTGGTGGAGGACATGACGGTGCTTGGACGGTAAAGCAAAGAAGAAACGGCAAAAGCATCTGATAATGACTTCACCGCATGGCTCTCGCTGCGGGTTCCTGACTCTCTTTTGTCGTGCACAGTGCTCGGCCCTGGTGTTTGTGTTTGTCTGTCGAGGTTAAAGCCAAGTTTCTGTAACCTAACACTCGAGGAGTCGAGCTAAAGATTGAGGTTGGATGCAGCCGAGTCGTATCCCCCCCTGGCAGGAAACCGAATTGTATTTGAAATGAAGGTCGTCATTTTTAGCTGGAAGGCAAGGCAAGGAAAGGTACGGATACTGGGCTGATCATGTTTCTTCCTGCCGTGGGAGGGCAGCATTGGTGGCAACTTCCATTGCGATATCTTGTGGTGGCAGGCCTCACGGCGTTTAGGAGGGGTGGACGGTGGACTGGACGGTGGACTGGACGGGAGACTGAGGTCCTTTGGGCGGGACAATTCCAGGCTGGTGGTCCACTTATCGCCTAGCGATTGGCAACGGCTGGGCTGCTCGGTCCCAATTACCGACAGAGAGGGGCGGCGTGCCAATGTTGCACGGGTAGGCAGCTATTGGGCCATTTTGGGCCGTATTTAATTTTGCATGCCGTCAAAATCTCTTGTTCCGCTGGGTCGAGTTCCCCCCTTTGTCTTGTTATTCCGTTGTTTACTTGACTACCGTGACACAGGTTGATCGGGGGCAGCCTTGGAGATGTGGATGCAGATGGCATGGCTTCTGGAACATGCCATCGATATTAGACGCAGCAGGAAAACTCGTCAACCTCTTCAGGCACTGATACCGTATGCAATGTGCGGAGACTGTCTCTGGCAGAGAAGCAAGGACATGGCGGGAGGCGGGCGAGACATGCGGTACCTTCAGGTAGGTAGGTCGAGCTTCAGCTTCAGCCGGGCCTGCAGATTCACTGCTACGGCCTACAGTATGATGTATGCTAGACAGGCCAGGCATGCTTTGGCGAGGGTGTCAGGGATCTAGACTCCAGCCTGGATGTGAAGACTGATCCCTGGATGTAAGAATCATTCACATTTGGCGGGCAGAGGGCATCTTCAAGCAATGGAAGCAATTGGATGCCATGGATGGTGCAGGGATGGCCCCCTTGGGCGCTAACAAGCTCCTGTGGCCGCGGCAATGGGCCGAAAAAGGCGGCACGGCGCATACTTCGCCCCATCGTCTTTGGTGGTAATGTATCAGCATCTCGCAACCGGCCGGGAGACCATTGTTGACGTCGGCATCTGCATGTCACTGCCGCCGGGGCACCGGGGGTAGGCGTTGGGTTGGCACTTGCGTGTGGTGTGTGTGTGTGTGTGTGTGTGTGTGTGGCGTGCGCTGGTTCTTGATTCTTGCGTCGTCCATCATGTTGCATATGCAATGTCAAGGGGGAAAAAGAAAAGAAAAACATTTGTCCAGGCAAGGTGGCGCCGCAGCGGCGTCTGTATGTCTCTCTGGCATGCCTAGGATGCTTACATACTCTTGTTTGACTGCTACCTTACTCTCCGTTGTCTACACTAACCAATCGTCTAAACTGAGACGTACGGCTTTAGGTCCCAAGCAGACTGCAAACCGAAAAGAAGACGGGAAGCTGCTTGCTTTTCGTGAATTCCCTGCCCTCCTCCTTGTCTCCTTGTCCTGGCCACGCATCTCTGTCAGGGCATGTCCATTCCACGCCAACCCGGGTGGTATAGGTATCTTACCTCAGCTAAGGACCGGGCTGGCACAGGCAACGGGGTGCTCCTCTCACTGGATGGCGGGCAGAAGTGCTGCTGGGGCCTGTCCTGGATCGCACCCACACTCGCGGCTCGACTAGAGGTGGGCGGGCACCCAACTGGGACGTGGACCAGGCCACCGCACACGCAGCATTTTCATAGCAACTCTACGGATACCTACCTCACTCTGTACCTACTACGTATCCGTACCTCAGGACGTCCCGTACAAGGCATTAGGCACCGGGAGCCCATCATAAGGGCTACTTTACTCCAGTACCGTTCTGCACCCAAATCTCATGTACTCCTCATGTCTTTCTCCCCCCTCCTCAAGCAACACGCACCGCCCTCACTGCCATTATTACCTAACTGCGCTGCCGCCGCCGCTCTTACTGCATGGCTGCTACTGCTAGACGCTTCCCTCCACTCTTTCGCCTGAGCCCGAACCCGAACGACGATCCCATCTTGGAGCCGACTCGTCCTTCTTCCTCCTGCAGTCTACGACCTTAGCCTGTCCAAGTAGCGTGTCTTCCCATTGAGCCTCTTCGCTCTTGCGCATCTCAACTCTCACCCACTCCTCTTTGACATCGCCATTTCCATCCAACTTGTCGGACAGAGACGCCGACCAGCCGCCCCAGGAACCGATGCTCGCGATCCCTTTGCTGTCAGCCCAATCCTGTGTGCTGCTTCCACACTTCCAATCTCTTCTGCAACGGGCCCCCGCAGCCGCCGCCACGACCTCCTCACACTGAGGGCACCGCCGGCGCTTCTCGACACTCGACACTCGACACTTGGCACCCATTCCCGATTCGTCTTCCAGCCTGCCCTCATCTCCTTCCCGCTCTTCTGACTGCTGCCTACTATTCCGACTTTTACTATCGTCGCCTCGCCTCGTCGACGTGCCATCGCACCACCTCCTCTTCTCCTCCGTCACTGAGCCGCCGATCAAACACTGCTAGCCATGAACTTCGATTCGGGCACTGCCTATGCAGAGTCGGATGCCGACGACGAATACGAGCGCAGCCTTGGGCCCAACTCGCCCGTCGCCGACGACGAAGGTTCGCCAATCGACTCCGAGCTTCCCTCTTCCAACGAACACACGCCCACCACCTACGGTCACCGCAGTAGTGCCGACCGCTTGCCCGAGACGATAATTTCCGAGTGGACCGCCGATGAGTGCGCCGATTTTATCAGCACAATCGGTCTGCCGCAATATGCCGACAGCTTCGTTGGTAGGTTTTATTCTTGTTCTGACCATTACCTGCACTGTGGCACCTTACTGATTGCGTCTTCAACCAGAGAACGAGATTGTTGGCGAAGCTTTGGTTGCTCTACAACATGATGACCTGAAATCCATGGGTATTGCCAGTGTCGGCCATCGCCTCACTATCCTGAAGAGCGTTTACGATGTGAAGAAGGCCCAGGACATCCCGATAGAGAGCGACCATTACGTGCCATTATGTAGGTGATGCCGCATTTCGTACGAAGGAACTTTCAACTAACCTAAACTCTCTAGCTGCCGACGCGGAGGCTCAATATGCAACAGCAACTCTGAAGGATATTAAGCACTTGGTTGAGCAGCTCCGCTTACGAGACGAGCGGATGAGCATGGTAGAAAAGGACCTGCGTCGACTCTCCGAAGACTTCAGACGGCTACGGGAGGATATGCTGCCTGCGCTTCGCTTGGCAAAAGACTCATCGCAACCACTACCCAATGTCTCTAACAACAGCAGTCAGGGTTACGGATACGAGACCGTATCGCCTCCCGCTCCAACGCCTTCTTCCACTCAGTCAATGAGCCTGCAGCGACAGTACTCCACCAAGAGGATCATGCTAGGAACGACGCCCAAGAACAATTCGCCATCGCACCTGCAAACAACGCACGAAAGATCGATGGAACAAACACTGGATCCCTCCAACGCTGCAGAACGAGCCGTGTTGTCTTCGTCGCACCTGGCGGCCATGAACGGGTCAGGTACGGCTACCTCGCCCGGCTATCCTTCTCCGAATATGCCCTCGCCGACATCTCCTCCAACACATGGCGGCGCGACTTTGGGCTCTCGATCTTATCGCTCCGACCGCTCCGAAGCCCCGACGCCTTCTACACGATCAACCTTTGCCGAGAACGACCATGGATACAAAGGCCGGGAACAGCAAACGGCGCCGAAACGCGGACCGACCCCCGCTCCCGATACACCCAGTACGAGCAATGCATCTGTCGAGATTTTCAAGTCGTTCCGAGTTAGCATGGACGACCCGTGCTACAAGGTGCTACCCGCCGCCCTCAAAAAATATCAGATCAATGCACCCTGGGATCAGTATGCCCTCTACATTGTCTATGGTGATCAAGAGCGTTGCTTAGGGCTGGAAGAGAAACCTCTGATTCTGTTCAAGCAGCTGGATAAAGAGGGCAAGAAGCCAATGTTCATGTTACGGAAGACGAACAACGCACAAGTTGATACGTCTTCAGAACAACCAGGGAGCGCCGGGCTCGGAGCTAGAGGCGCGACAACGGGCTATGATCCGCCTGGTGGTATCATTTAGGGTGTGATACCATTACTGATCATACTCGAAGCTTATCCTTCCTCGATTTGAGTTTTTTCCCATCCGATTATTTGAGTGGACATCAGCCGCGTGGAGGATACGGGGCTGGGAGCTCGACAGGACCAGAGCATACCGGAGTTGGGGTTCACCTGCATAGCGCTGCGCGGAAGAGAGACGACTGCTTTGGAATACTGTCGCGGAAACAATGTATGGGTTCGATTGGGCGGGGTTTTTGTCCACGGTGTTTCGTCTCGCAACAGTTCCTGGGCTGTCCAAACTCGAAACATGGATCCGAGCAAATATTGTTTTTTTGTGTATGAGCTCTCAAGCCTCGACCGGACGAGACATCGGGCCATCAAATGCCGTCATGGAACACCTTTTTATTTTCCTCAAAGCTATTTGGAGTCTTGTACTCTCGGAGATCTAGGGTCTATCTAAATGGGGCTTACGCTGGGTGTAAGCGGGGAGTAGAGTAAGGTGCCTGTGTATCATGTTGTATTTGGGGAGGAGGTGTGGTCTGATGAGACTTGGAGCGAACGTGCAACCAACAGCTGGGGGTGGGAGGCAGGATATGTCTTGGGTTTGGGAGGGTGGCATCTGCTCTGTGCGACACGAGAGGCGTAAGCTATCAAAAAGGAGCTCTTTTTTATTCTCGACATCAATTTATTCACCCCTTGATTCAGACATAGCATCGGACATCGCACCGTGACTTCCCTTTGTTTGTCCCGGCGCATATATCATGCCGTGGTCACTGCTGTTGACCTGACACGCTGATTGTGTTCGCACGATGACGGTCTCATATGTTTGCTGGGCGTACGGCGTAGGTACCTGCGCCAAGAGAAGGGACAGACAGGACGATCTCATCAAGGATCAAAGCTATATGTACGTACGTACACTCGCCTTCTATAGGCACGGGGGTCCGCTCTCAGGATGGTATGGGACGATTCGCGGTTCCAAGGCCAGCCAAAATCTGGTTCGCATGGGAGTCATTGAAGGAATCGAGGTGGGGGGAATGGAGAGGGGGGGACGATAACGAGGTTGTGCCGGATGACGATGAATGGATATGGGAAGGAGGGAGAGAGAGAGGGGAGCTGTTCATGGGGTTACTTGGAGAAGTTGAAGGCATTGGGGACAACCAGTAGCAGCAGTAGGAGTAGCTCCGTAGTAGAGTCACTCTCATCCGTTCGTTGGTTCGTCTCCTCGAGCTTGTCCCCGGCAGAGTACCAGTATCGGGTTCTGTGGTGGACAGGTTGGATGGACCGGGGTCAGGGTGTGCGTGTGTGTGGGTGGGTAGTGGACGTGGTATTCGGGTGCGGCGGAGGGCCGGGTTTTGTATGTCTCAGTCTGGTGGAGTTTCTTTGGTGGTTTGCCGTTCCCACTCTCTACTATGCTCCCTCTCTTGTTTCTTTCTGGAAGTGACAGCTTTGGGGGGGGGGGATGTTGAAGAATGTAGAAAAGGTTCGAGGGTACGCATGTATGATGGCAATGGATGGAACGTAGGAGGGATGGATTGCAAGTTGAGGTTTGGGGTATGTGATGAGGGGTTCGTGTGGCATGTAGATAAGGTAGGTTGATGGGGGGGAGAAGTCCGTGTGGACAAGAAGGTAGGATAGTGTACGGAATGGCCGTTTGTGACGCTCTTTTGGATGCTTTTGGGAATGCGTTGGAGACCAATTGGGGAAAAGGGTTCAACGATACTGAGCAGGTTTCCTTATTTGGACCCTGAACTTGAGGGAATGCGAGGAGAAGGAGAAAGACCCTGTTTTTTCGTGTCCATTTCGGGACGTTGGGGGCGGTTTCGGCGAGGAGGTTTCGGCGTGCCGCCGGGACGGAGCGGAGGTGGGTGGATAGTTCCCCGGGGGTGGCTAATTCTCGTTCTTTCTTGAGCTGAGTGCTCTATAGGATGTCGAGGAGTCTTGGTCAGGATAGCTCTCGCCACAAGAAAATCCGGCAGGGGCGACGGGAAGTGGGAGAAGGGGTTTAATGGCGTCCGGGATGTTGGGTATCAGTATGGCTTGTTTGCGTGCAATGGTGCGGGATTGACCGGACGGGGATTACTATTCGGATACGAGGTTTTGGAGGGTGAGAGGTTACAGGTGAGACGAGGTGAAGGAGGTACAGTAGACAGAACAAGCTTGCCATCTCTGGTTAGCCGACCCAGGATCTTATCTGTCTCATTTGACGGCATGCAACAACTTTGGGCAGAGAATGGCCGGGCTTGCACGGTGAACCAGAGAGACTCTCAGAGCTTTTGAAGAGTTGATTCTTTGCTGAGAATCAAGCTAAAAAAAACTTGTCAATTTCACCAGATCCGCGAGGGGAGGGGGGGGTGTGAGGTCGGCACGGCCGTCACAGCGAGCCTCGATTTGGGAGAGGCACACGAGTAAAAACACGGTACCGTCCGCTTACGCAGGGCGTCGCAGGTAGACGGGACGTGACTGGGTCGACGGGCCAAATTGGTTGAGCTTCGAAGGACAGGTTTCCCGAGGTTTCCTAGAAGCCTGGCTCCGGCCGCCTCTTGGGTTTGGCTCCCAGGTGACTATCACTCACTCAACAAGACTTGTTGAACACCCATACCTCCCCTCCACCCCCACATGTTCGATTGGTCTTCGCTTTTTGGCGGGCGTTTGGTGTTTTGGGATGGGAGAATGGAACGGAAGGGGAGGGGGGGCTCACTTGTACAAGCACTTGTACAAGTCGAGTCCTTGTCGTAATTTTGGCATAGTCGGGTTCGGGGAATGAGGCGTCAAGTCGCAGGTTGAATGGTTCTGGGACGGTGGAGGAATTTCTCTTGCAAAACGGGGATTCCCTTTGTACTGCTCGCGAGTAAGGTCCAGGTCAGCTTGGATAAGGCAGAGGGAGTCATATCAGCGCCGTGAAGCCGTCAAAAACGAATGATGTGTTGAATCGTGCGCATGAAGTGACTGACAGCGGTGGAAATGAGATGAGCTTGAGGTTTGTGTCCCGATGTCACTCGTCTGATGATGCTGTGTTATGGATGGGATGGTTCAGTTGCCGAATGCCAAGTCATGGGCGTCGATATATCTTCCGACTTGCTGTATACTACTTCTCATGCATTTATGCCGGGTAGGTGCCGTGTCATCCCTATTAGGCCGAAAGACGTCTTGCGTTGTAGGAATGCCTTCTGCAGAGCTGGATTTCATAAGGAAGTTGGACACAACCTCTCGAAATCTGTGACTTGGATTCTCATATACCATCCTCCAGATTTTCTGCCCAGCTCGCCCTAGCCCTTGAAGCATTTCTACATTCAGACCTCCATCCGCCGGCGGAATAGCCCCTTACATGTCATCAACGGCTTTCCCGTTCGGGCGGTTTGTCAACTAACGTACATATCTAGCCGAAAGCCCCCACCTCGTCGTCCAACTCCACGTTTCCGGCTTCTTCGACGCAATTAGGGCTCTTGTTCCGCGAAGATCCACCATCGTTTGTCCCACAGGAATATAATTCTCTTCACCGCTCTACGACTTCATCACAGATTAAGAAGCCCGAATGGCTCAGTGGTAAAGCGTCTCACTAGTACCTGTTCCAGCCAGATCTCACGATCAAGTTGAAATGTGAACGCAATGAGAAGATCGGCGGTTCGATTCCGCCTTTGGGCAATCTGTTATTATTTTGCTTGTTTGCTATCTTTTAGTTTTTGGGGATTGTATCGTTGTGCTAATGAGGAGGAACAGGGGAAACATAGGGTGTCACTTCGACTCAGACTGCGCGGTCATCCAAGCCTCGTAGTTTTCTAATCAAGTGTACTCTATACATTTGCATTGCGCTGCGCAACAGACGGATGTGAAAGCCTGCTGATTCGGCTTTGAAGGAGGCATTGCAGCTCAATTGATGTATTAGCCCCCAGGGACTGCTGGGAGATCGATATTACCATTAGGAGTGACATTCACGTTTGATTATTTGGACCTTGCAAGTAACATCAAGCTCTGAGCTATAGAGAACGCCGAGGGGACAGACTTTATCCTTCGCGATGAAAGCTCGAAGATTTATATGCCCCCCGCCCGAGAGGATTACCGGACTGAAGAAACCATAGAAGAGGGTGCAGCCTCTAGCTTAGATAATTGCTTGGAGTGTGGTCTTCTAGCAGGTAGCCACTATATGCAGAAAAAGGCCAAAGTACTCGGTAGCGCTGCATACTTTTCAACTGAAGCCTGCATGCAAGTTGCACATGATGACGAGGCCTTCTCCAAGAAGGAAAGTATTAAAACTATGAAGAAGGTGGGTTGAAGCAGGCGACAGCCACCGCGATGTAAAAAATGGGAAGGAGCACGATATTCGATTGTGGCGATTTTAATTCTTTCCCTTTTGGTACTTGAAGTGACCCGGCCTCGACAGTTCCTGCTTCCTTCGACTCCAAGTTCGTTCTGGTGTTGCCTTTCGCTTTTGCCCACTCAACTCGTTCGACTTTCGTTTCCGACACGACACCACCAACATTTCCCCTCCCCATCCCTGATTTGTGCCACGCAATCTTTTCTGGGCGCCTCCTATCAGACAAGCCAGTTGAGGTGTTGTTGATGAGAGATTTGTCACTACTTCTGACTCAACGGACACCAACCTAACATTGAGGAAGTCGAACCACTTTCGAGAGCGAGCGGACCTCCTCTAGTACTAGGCCTGTTACTCGCGAGCTTGATGTACTGCCTTGTAAGCTCTCTCTGAACCATTCCAGTCGTTTTCCCTCTTGATCCATGCTGACAATTTGATAACCAGAGAGCCCTCTCTCACGTCAACCAAGGTTCCTTGCGCGTCCCAACCGGACCAAGGTTTAGAGCTAGCACATCTTCATCAAAAACCGAAACGAAGTCCCAGCCATCATGAGCCAGCAGAATCAGGTCGTCTCATCAACTAGACCTAATGGCCTGCAATATTCCTTCGGGACGAATGGCGCTGGTCACTCATTCACTTGGAGCCCTCCGGCCCCTTCGGGGTCGCTGGATCAACTAGACCATGATAAGATGCCCCATGGAAAGCGCCGAAGGCTTAATGAGGTGCAAATCAACCTTGCGGTGCATGGAGTCGCCAAGATCCGGCTCGGGGAAGACACGACACTCGATTTCACATCGTATTATCAAGAGGCAGAGAAGAAGCTTTTGGACGTCAAAGCTGAGCAAGCCCAGCTTCTACGAAGGCTTGATGAAGCCGGCGAGGGCCACAAGAAGACTCTTTCGAATGTCAAAGCTGAGCGAGACGAACTTTCACGCCAGCTTATTGAAGCCACTAAGGATCACGACAAGACTATTTCCGAGGTCAAAGCTGAGAGAGATCAACTTCGGCATCAGCTTAAAGATGCCTCCAAAGAACATGAGAAGACCAGGCAGGAACTGCGGAATTTGCAAGCGCAAATATCGCAAAAAGCTTCCCTCAATGCCGCGAGAATCGGTTTACACCAAAGGCGTGCGATGAAAGCTAAAACAAAGCTAATAGAATCCCACAGTAAGCAGCTCGCAGATGACGCTGGGAAGATCGAGATGCTCCAGAAGGAGCTCCAGATGTCTGAGGACACTCATCAAGCTGTCGCAGGCGTATTGAAGATGCGAGAGAGTGAGCTTAAAGCTTGTCAAGACGAATATGCCAGGAAGTTTGAAGAACTCAACGTGACCAACACAAAAAGTGTCGTCGAGAAAATGAGTTTGGGGTACAAGGTGGCTGAACTCCAGACTGCTTTGGACAAGCAAAAAAAAAGAAGCCATCATCGGATTGAAGCGACACAGATTGGAACTCAGGATCGACCAGAACAACCGCGAAGCCTCCAAAGAACTTTAGCTGCTTAGAGGAAGTGTATCCGTAATTTCGGGGCCTCATTGGACCCTCGACGAGCGGTCTGATGCCGAGATCATGACGGCAAAACTTCACATTGAGAGATGGCATCTTCAAATCATTCCCAACTACGAGAAGAAACATTTGGAAGAAAAATTGGGGGCAGTCGATCTGCTATGCGGCCTGCAAATGACCACGGACAATGACGAGACCCCCTCCTCCAACGAGGCTATCGTCGAAAAAGTGGAAGACTGCGCGAGGATCACTTGAAGAAATATGGTCACGCTTGAGAACTTATCATGAAAGCGGGCGAAATAAGAGGAGCAAGCCTGTACACTGTAGGACGATTACTTGCTGCTGTTTATGATGTTCTACTTATATTGGTAAAGTAAGGATGGGTAGTCCATAAAGTTTGATGCTGTTCCTTGTTGCAATTTTTAGCGCAGTGTTACTTTTCTTTCTGACCAATCATTGAATCACTAGATTCCCTCTCTGGAGCCCCTTTCAGTGCGGCGAATTACCTATATTCCTCAACTACCTCACAACCTGATCCTGTTCATGCCAAGGCTTTAGAGTCCCCTGCCATCTTCCAAGCAGTCTGAAATACTGAGTGATCGCGGAAACGGGGGACAACGTATATGCTTTGTGAGCTTGTGTAATGCGACGGGGGGAACGGCCCACACGGTAGAGGGCACTTGCCCATCAAGATAATCGTGACTATCCGACAGAAAAGTCCCAATGCAGCCGTCTCAATCTACAGAATATGGCTACGTTTTTGACATCTGTCTGTGTAAAGAACAAAAACGAAAAAGAAAACGAGGTCGCCTGGCCGATACAGGGTTCGAGGAGGCAGACTCTACTCCCCTACATAGGGACTCGACTCAACCTCCCACGTGTGCGACCCGTTTGAATTCACAAAGCACATACCTTTGCAAGACTTGGAATGGAATCGGCATGATTCGACTAATGTGTAAAATGTTCAACCATCCCCGTGATTGGGTGACGGATTCGGTTTTAGTTGGGTTCAAAAGTTGGTGGGTGATGGATAGCTCTTGCGTGCAAAATCCAGTAGTAGACATTCAATATAACGGGTATTAATTAAGAAGAGAGAAAAAAGTAGGAAAAAAATCCAGATACAAGGTCCCTTGCGGGGTTAGAAGCTACAATCTACAGCCAAGGGAGGAGACTATTAACCTAGTATTGGGGGTGTAACCATCCGGTGATCCGCCTTAAGCTTCCAGGCAACTTTTCCTTTCGACTGTTCGGAACAGGGAAGGCAAAATCACCTTCTATAGCCCTACCCCGTGCAGAACGTACATGTACTGCTGGGTATATAATCGTTGCCGTGTGTCTGTAGGTCAGTCAGCCCATGACATTCAACGCCATCGCCATCTCAGTACCTTACCCACCGTCTGTTCGCCTCTCATCTGACAAATGGCTCTATCAAAATTACCTATCGACCGTGACCATCCTCTCCCTCGTCTTCTTTTCCACACCGGGTAAGTCTTGAGTGTGTAATACGAGTACCAGGTATCATGAACCCCTAGTAACCTCCACGGTGGTCAACGGACACGCAGGAAGAGCATTTAAAACGTATCAATCATGAAATTCGTGACTCTCTATGCCCAAACCACTAGTAAATGGTATATCCATCAAAAGAAACACCCTCCCACCCCTGACGCCGAAGAACGATCCACCTGAGATGGAAAGGCATGTATGCCATGTTAGCCTTCAGACCATCTGGCTCATGATGATTGCCGACGAATGCCAAAAACCCTTAGAACGCCCAAAATATGCCCAAAATATGCCGCAAATATCTTCAAGTGAAGAGAGAGAAAGGCGAATCCCTACCCCGGCCTGTCTTAGACTATGGGGCGCTTTCAAAAATGCACACTCCGCTTCTTGGCGACCTTGCGCTTCCTCTCCTCCTCCTCGGACCGGTCCCGATGGAAGAAGTTGCTGACGCTAGCAGCCGGGTTCGCGTAGGGTCCCTGAAGCAGTCCCGACATGAGGTTTGGGAGCTTCCCCCGACCGGCCTGCTGCGACTGTTGCTGCTGTTGTTGTTGCTGCTGCTGGAATGACGGCACACCACTCGGCGGCGGCGGCTGCGCGAACCGCACCTGCGGGCGATACGCACTGGTCCCCGGAGGCCCGTTGTACGGCCCTGCGCTGTTAGGTCGAGGTGGCTGTGCCGGCGCCACGTGCCACGAGCCCGGCGTGCTTCCGGGCGGCGGTTGATGACGCGGTGGTAGGGTTGGGTTCGACTCGCTGGGCGGGACACCATAGAGCCTGCGGAGCCGCTCCGTCTCGGCCTCGATCTCGGCTTCTTTCCTTCGGCGCTCATTCTCTTCCTTGTCGAGCATCTTCTTGATGCGCTTCGCTTCCTCGGCGTCCCGGCGCTCGCGCTCGCGTGCCTGCCGTTCTTCCTGGGCTACCATGGCCTGCAGACGCTTCGTTTCATTGTCAATCTCCCACTGCTGGCGGGCGTTGGGCCTGGGAGGGCCATTGTTTATGGTTTGCGCGGGCGGCGAAGCGGGCTTGTTGCCGATGGCGCCGGACATGGCGGCCACGGGTGGTACCGGGGCCATGGATGACGCCATGGATGCCGGAGGGGGCTTGGAGTTTTTGCGACGACCGGTCGTGGGCGGCGGCGTCGCTGTCAGGTTGAAGACATTTTGTCTGGGGTTGAGGAACAAGTCGCGGAGGATCTCGGCGCCGAGCAGCAGGACAATGTCCAGGCCCTTGCGGTCCTCCACGTCCACGCGCTGTAGGTTGGGTTCGTAGATTGTCACAGCGCTCTCGTGCTTCCTGTCCTTGAACATGGCGACCGTGATGTCAGGCTCCTTGCTCTTCTTGCCGGCCACGCTCTTCCCGACCATGTAACACGTGATGTCCTTGCTCAGCCTGCCGTCCCGCTTCCAGCGGAAGACGACCTTAGGGACGGTGTCACTGATGGGCGGGTCGTCGGAGGACCGGTCAAGCAGGCTGGCACTCGGCGCGCGGAAGCTCTGTTCGGGCATCTCAAATTCCCAGCTGTCGGACTTGCCCCAGCTCCCGGCTTTGGTCTTGAAGACGACCTGTGAATCCGGGTTGTAGAGCTGCAGCGTGACCTGGTCGGGCAGGATGGGCTGGGGTGGCGCCGGAGTTCCGTTTTGGACGCGGACCTCGGCGGCAGAGAGTGTTGGCTGGGTCCATTCCGGCTCGACAAGGACCTCGGCGTAGATAATTTGCTGTGAGGCAATGTCGGTGAGGGCAGCGGCGTACTTGTTGCGGGCGACCGGATTGGCCGGGTCGGCACGCTTGAGGACGTAGTTTGGCGTCGGATCGGAGCCCTGGTGGGTGAAGTAGAGGATCGTGTTCTGAGGGTTGTCGGAAGAGGGGCGGAAGTGGAAGGTAGGTAGGTTTTCATCGAGCATCTTGGGCGGCGGCGGCGACGGCTGTATAGGCGACCGACTGGCTGGCTCGAGGAAAGAAATATGTTTGTCGGAGATCCTGGTGTTGAGGAGGTAAGGAAGTGACGTTTCCTGCGCCGCTTGTGGGCGTTTTGGAGGAGGAGGGGGGGACACAGCGTTGATAAAAAGGGTCAGGCCGGCAAGGCAGGTCTGCCGGGCCTAAGGGTGTGCGAGGTCAAGTGGGCTGAGTCTCAAATCCGTCCGTCACCCGTCCGCCTTGGCTTTCTTTGTGTGTTGTGGGATCAAAAGACAAGGGATAGGTCACTACCAGTCACATACCTACGTCCTTGTTCGAATCTATCCGCGGGATCTAAGGTATGCAATAGATAGCCCCACTCAAAGGGAAACCAATGCTCCAAAGGAGATCGTCGAAGGGAGGTGGAATGCCAGTGGGGGTTTACGATAGCTTGATCAGACGAGGTACAGGAAAGCCAAAATGATAGGAAGCCAAGTATGTTCAAGACAGGGCACCCCGCCGTCGAGAAAGGTTGAAGCCTGGCTTAGCAAAAGTGACCGGTTCGTGTCGTGAACAAGCGTGGGGGGAGAAGCTGTGGTACTGCAGCGAACTTGCAGGAGGAGCGAGATTGGTGAACAGGAAGCCTGGCACATGCACCCGCGCCCCTCCATAACCTAGAAGCTGAGTGTAAAGTGTAAAAGCAGGCACGGCAGGGTGGCAGGTCATACTACGTAGGCTCGCAGCAGCGGGAACAGGATGTACGTCAACAACTGCCCCGCCAGCCGCTCGGATTGGACGCAAGCCACGCCCATGGTCCCCACATTCGCCCGCTCCGCCACACCATATCATTTCTCATCTACCTATCCGTAAGGTGAGTCAACCTGCTGATTCGCCAGGTCGCCTGGAAGGGCACGTCGTGTGTGCGGCTGTGCAGACTGCTTTCCACTGCGTGGACTCGACTCGTGGAGTCAACCTGGAAGCGCATCCAAGGGGACGGTGCGGGCCCCGCAACGGTTTTTTGGAAACCGTGCTGTTTCCCTTCCGAAACGCGCGGCCAATGGTGGGGTGGTGTTGGGCCTGGTCAACCTGTCAAAAGTCTCTTTCGTTCTTATTTTGGCAATTTGGGTGCAAAGAATGGATTCGCTGACTTGATTGACGGCTCTTTCCCCCCCTCTATTCTCTCCGCAGCGAATTAAGCAACGCCTCTCTTTAGGCTGCGCTTCAAAATGCTTCGTAAGCCCGCATCCTGCTGCGAGTTTGCAACTCGTAAGTATGCCTTGGCGTCCTACAGACTGCGATTTGTTTGTAAAATTGTCATTCCACAAAGGCGAGAATCCTTCTCTCCAGCTTGTTGAAGCGGATTCTTCTTGCTTATTCATTCCATCTTGTTAAACAAAGGAGAATTCAAGCTTGGACGTGAGTGTACTATGGGGACTGTCTGGGAGAGGCCGACGCTAGGATCGTCACCCAGCAGAACGCAGCCACACACGATGGCGAAAAGGCTTCATCATCACCGTGCCGGCCAGCTCTTGGCTTCACTACGACGCTGCGAGGATTCCAGACCAGTAAGCAGACGCAGAGCACTCAATTTAGTACCTAAGCAATTGTGCCATGAACAGTGGTTTCAGTTAATACAATCGCTTCCACTTAAAGCAGCCTGGCGTGCCTGACAAGCGCATCGGCTCGAAGAGATCGCCCTCCCGCATTAGCAATTCGCCCAAACATGGGTGTGCCTGACGATCCCGAGTTCGCTGAAAAGGAAAGCCCACGCTGCCCAAACAACTCTGCAGCCAATTGCTCAAAAGACAAAAGGCGCTCTTGTGTCAATAATCAACAGTGACATGGCCAAGTCGTGTGCATTTGTTGGACTTTTGTATTACTTCCTACCTCCTACTACCCGCTACACCACTACACCGCTCCTCACCATCCTCGTCTTGGCACCTCTGCCTCAACACCCGAATCCCCAATCTCCATAAACGTACCTGTACAAGGGGGGAAGAAAGGCACGCTGAGTAATGCCTAACTCTGCAGGGCCAGCCAAGCGCCAGGCTTGAAGAAGAAGCATTGCAGAAGTTGTATGGGTACATTGTTTTGTGTGTGAAGGTATTGTTTGTACAGCCGATCACCTCCCGGCTCCAGGCTCTTCCTCTCTCTCTCCCTCTCCTTCTTTCTGAGTGTATGTATGTGATATGACTTGGTATTACAACCGCTCCGACCTAACCTCACTTTCCAACCCCCTGCTCCTCCCAATGACTTATGTCGATCCGCGCCATGCTTGGGTATGAAAACAAAGAAAAGAGCCTCGTGTGTCCGGATCACGTGTGTGGGCTACTGCGGGTTCGGCCCCATATCCGGCCGCCGGGGTACCTCCCCATCTGGCATCATCAAAGTAAACTGAGGCTCAGGCGGCAAGCCGTTTTGGCCCGTCCCAGCCGGTAAACCCGGAACGGGCGGAACGTCTTCACCGGTTTCTGGCCTTGCCTGTGCTCTCTTCACGCGGCCGGTCTGTTGGTTGACCCAGCTGTCGACCGTCCTGAATCTCGGTGGGAGATCCTCGCTAGCCTCTGTGTACATCGTTTCGCGGTTGGTCTTGCTCATCCAAGAGAAGCGGCCGACGCCAATCTGACTGGCTCTCAGTGACTGTGACACTGGGGGCGGCGGTTGGAGCACCATGCCGGGCATTCCGGGTATAATAATGTCGCCATCGCCAAAGCCAGAAGAGATTGACGAAAGCTCGCTTGCACGGTTGACTTGCCGCCGAGCCGGATCATAGGCGTCCGATGGTTGACGTGCTAGCTCGGACTGATTGAAGTACGCACCAGCTCCCACGCCTGACCGTAGAGTCATATTGGGATCCGCGGAGCTTCCATATTGTCCGACAGTGTGAGCAAGAGACCCGTTGGGCGCGTGGCCGACGAAAGTCCCGGTCTGGCTGTCATATGTTCCGACTTGACTCGTATAACCACTCTGTTGATTGCTGAACGGATTTTGTTGACTGTTGTATGTGCCTTGTCCGTTGGTAGTGTTCATTCTCATCGGCATGGTGCCTGTCGGACTCTGGTGAATGGGGCTGCCGCGGTTATCAGCTTGCGACAAATTGTAGTTGCCAGGGTAAGTGCCGCCAGGGCCATAGAACCCAGTGTCCAAGCGAAGTGTTCCCTGCGGTCCTTTCTCGTACTGAGGTGGCTCGCTTCGGCGGCCTTCGAGATTCTCCCATCCGCCTGATCCTTTGAAGAATGGAAGCTTTGAGCTGATGCCTGGTCTGTCACCTGGGTAGCCGGACACCCTTTCCCTTCTCATCAGCCCCGCCCTCTTTATCGTCCTCCATACAATCCACACAAGGAATGAAGCAAAAATGAATGATCCTGTCCATAGTCAGCTTCCGCAGGGACTGTATGACCCATAAAACTTACCTATTGAGCCCACAGCAATGAGAGCGTGCTCTGTTTCGGGGTTCATTCGTGGCGGCCTTCCATCGTCCTTGCTAGATCCACCACTGGCCAAGCCCGGCAACAAGGAAGTGGTCGCTGCAGGAAGGACTGCTGAAGCCAGCGTGGCCGTAATGGTGGGCGTTGAGCGATTCTCTCCGTCGATACCTTTCCTCGGGGCTGAGGGATCGACTGATGGCAAGGGGGGTAAAGCAGGTGGTCCACTGGGCGCGGCGACTGCGGGCGGTACTGTAGGAGTAGGAGTAATTACTGGGGGATGCGGTGACGGAGAGTATTTAGGCTTCTTAGGCCAGGGCTTTTCGAAGTTAGTGACATACCCACATGCTTCATTTACTATAGGTCCTTACCGAATCCGGGGGCGTCATGGTGGAGAAGAGTGTGACGGTTCGGGCAGGAGCTGTCACCGTCATGGTAGTTGGAGGCAATGGCGGAGGTTCGGGCTCAGGCGGCGGTGGTGGTGGGGGATCTGGCTCAGCCGGAGCGAGGTTTGGCGGCGGTGCGGGTTCCTCATGGGTCGGCGGCGGCGGGGTGGGAGGGCGCTGTGGTGCCTCAACTGGAATCTCGGGGTGAGCGATGTAAGTCTCCTGAGGTTGCTCGACATATACTGGAGCCTGTACAGCCGGGGGGTTCGATGTGGCGGCGGGTTGCGTTCTCACGGGGGTCGGTTGCACAGCCGGCGCGGCGACGACCGCCGGAGGAGGGCGCATCATTGGCGGCGGGCGGAGCGTAGCTAAGGGCAACTTGCCCGGTGCCACATTATTGGGAGGCTTCACTTTGGGGGTATCTGGCCTTGAAGGAGGTTGCTGCTGCTGTTGGGGTGGAGGATTCTTGAGGCGACTTTTCCGCGCATTGTCATCGCTGTCGCTGTCGCTGTCGCTATCGCTGTCTGAGCGACGCTCCACTACCGAATCCCCATGCCTGCGACCGGCACTGATGGCCCGTTTCCACACGCCTCCGGTGGCACCTCTAACTTGATTGGCATATTCGTTGTCGGATTCAGCATCGCGGTCCCAAAGCAAAGGCGGCACAGCGAAGTTGGCGCGAGGAGCTCGTCTCTTTGAGGGCTTCTGACCCCGTGGCACTGCGTGAGGAGCCATGCCCTTCTCTCCTGCCATCCTATCCTGTCCTTTCCGGACCGATGAAAGTCGCCAAAATTTCCTTCTTGTCAATCACTTCCGACCATGGCCATTGGTTGACGATAGTCGAAGTGACTTGTAGTCGGTTGAATCGGATTACGGACGAAGTTAGACGGCGGGACTCTTGTTGAAGAAATCGTTCGATTGTAAGAGTGCGGATGAGAAAGCAGAAGATAAACAAACAAGAAGATAGACGTCAGTGCCAGCAGATGGGTCTAGAAAAGAAATGAAATGAAAATTAAGGCCGGCCTTGGTATGGAAGAATGGAAGAAAGGTAGTGAACACCACGCAACAGGCGTAGATGTCAGGCGCCAGAGGGAGAGGAGGGAGAAGGGAGAAACCGTGAGAAGCAGCCGAGCGAGAGGCGACAGTATGTATCAGATTGGGTCGATCATCAATCCATCATTCGCGGGGAGACCCATGCTGCATGACAGATGGCCCCCCGAGATGCTTCAGGGATACATCCAGACACCCCATGCGGGCACCAGCACTGACTAGGACTGGCGCAGGAACTGGCACGCGAAAGCCGATGGCTGCGGCGCACTAGTGGGTGGTCCGTGGATCGACCTGTCGTCGAGCATGTCAGCGGTCAGTCGCGCGGGTTTGGCTTTTTTGTCATGACAGTGCCAGAGGACGACTTCAGACTCGTCCAACCAGTAAAAAAATCGGTAGAATTGGTCATTGACCGTAGGTGCTCTTGCTTATGGCTCTGATGCTGCTGTGGTTTTCGTCTCTTTCTCTGATATCCGAACGTGAGGCACAGGCTTTCTGCTTGGACTGACGTGCAGGGCCGAACACGATTGCGTCGCATCAGCAGCAGTAGCAGCGCCACCGAGTACAGACCACTTGGACAAGTACCCGTATAGAGCAGAAGATTCGCATCGAGACTCTCTCCAGAGACAGGTGCAGCGACGGCGACGGCGAACAACGTCGAAGAAGGTCCACCCCTCCCCTACTCCCAACGTTTGGTTTGGTCTCTTCTCCTATATCCATTCCCCTGGTGTCTAGTCGTCTACGGGGTACACCAGGGGAGGAGACACAGGGACCCCGGCCGGCACAGGCACGCAAGCATGGATGGTGGAAGGCGTCTGGAATGGCTGTCGCCCATCGAGTCGATCGAGTGGGTAGAGAGAGCAGACGAGAAGGCCGAAGCGTGTAGGTTGTCAATCATTGCCAGAGTTGATGCTCCGGCGTTGGAAGAAGTCGGTCTGGGGGCTGAAGGAGAACACAGACGCCCAGGGGAGCAGAGACGAGACTGAGATGAGGGCCAGCTTCATCGCTGCGTATGCTTCATCCTCACAGCAGTGGGGGATGTAAACTGGTGGTCGGCGAACGAGAGTCGAGACTCGAGAGAAGTTGCTGGAGGTGTGGGCATCAAGGGGAGAGAACAGGGATGATGCACCCCTACAGTTGTGTCTGCAGCATGACCATGATGAAGATCGTAGCCGGGGGGTGAGGTGGTCGGAAGTTGGTCGAGGGTGCTTCGGACTGTGCAGCTCGCTGCGTGTGTGAGGTGTTGTAGAAGGTGAGACAGCTGCAGAGCCAGAGAGAAGGTCGACCAGTCCGCAGTTTCGAAGAGCCGAATCGGGACGGTGCTGAAATGGTGTACCGCTACCATACCGCTGCGTGACAGGTGCGGGGGAGCTGTTAGCAGGAGACGTATCGTCCATTTGGGAATGGCATTTGAGGGTTCTATTGGCCTAGGTATTGGTCTAGGTATTGAGGCTGCAGCGTGCTGAAGGTCTGCGACGACACTTGCAGGGGGCCATGCGTCTCAGCGTGGGAAAGAGCGGGTTTCAGGACAAGGGAGGGCCCGGTGCGGACCGGGAAACTCTTCAGGGAGGCTTTCTCCCGAGTCCCGAGCCACCCTTCCCTTCCCTCCACTTCCCCCCGTTATGGAGCAGAACTGGGCACCAACTCTCCAATTCTGACAAGACTCGCCGACACTTTGGGTCTAGCCTCTTTCATCCCCTTCCCCTTGGAGGCTTGGTCACTCAACCAAGAAGCTGGCTAGACTACAATGTAGCCCGCGGGAGAGTGCTCGGCGCACTGATGTGTAACAGCAACAGCGCTAAGGCGGATGGATGCCAGACTCGACTTCCAAATCACACGCGCAGGCGGACGAATTACAGGCTCTAGAGCGGGAAATCCGAATGAGCCAGCCATACCCGCCGTAGTATCTAACATTTGTTCTTCTTCAAGCCTGGGTTTTCCGCACTGCGCTGTTGTGTCCTCTCGCTGTTTTGGCGTCCCTCAAGTACTGGGCAGGGTCGATGGCGGAGCCAACCGGCGAGGCAGACGGACAAACACCACCTTGATGTTGTTATTGCTTTCCATCATCATCATTATCACCACTATTCCTGGCTTAGGAGGAGTTAAGGAGCTTGAACTGAACTGGGCGTCCTTCCCGATAAGCCGCCATGCCGTAGGTGGATTCGACAGTCTGCATCATCGCCAAAAGTCTTGTCTTGTTTGGGAGATTTAACCATACTCCTTCAATCCGCCTTTCGACGGAAGAAACTCCAGACCCCTAAGAAAACCTTGAGACTTGGCCGTTGAACCGCGCGATCCTCACCAGGAAGTGGCCTTCACCTCGCACAAGCTCACCCGGGATCATCGATGAGGCTCTACCGGCCCTCGTGCTGGTTTAGCTGCAGGGAAGACAGGGCTGCCTACTATCGGCTTGGGCCCCCCTTGTCGTTCCCTCACCTGCCAGGTCTGGGCAACAGAAAAGCCTCTTCACCAGTCAAGTCTGTAAGGGGTGACGCGAGCTATTGGACATCCACTTCTTCCCAGAAACTAGCAACTTTGAAAATGCTCATACTGCTAATTTCCCCAGTTCGATCAGCTACTATTAGCATTCTTCGTCTTTTGAAGCTATTTCCTTCTGCTCAAGAAAGTAAGTGTCGCTCGCGTCGTTCGTTCGTGCCCCTCAGCAGGGCAAGTTGCTAGAGTGCAATTCTGTTAGTGACTCGCTGCCCTCTTCTGCCCAGCTCAATTTTAAGGTCGGGCACTTTGCTATTAGTCCCGGAGCTATGCTATAGCCTTATCCCGGCCGCACGGTCAACCCTCGAAACCTGATTTCCGTCCCTCGTCACACACACACACGCACACACACACCCGCTGTGCTGCACCCTTTTGCCGTACGAGCCGGCGTCTCCAGGAACCCTCGTTGCCCCGTGTTGCCGCTTACATCGACTCTCTTTTTCATCTCAACCTCCTCATACCTCTCCATCTGCAATAATTTTCGCGAGACTTGTCGCACCCAATACAGCAATTAAGCTCCCATCTTGGCATCTGGAAACTTGCTCCTGGCGATCTGAGCCAGACCCTCTCCGCTTATTCCGCTGATTGGGTCCTACAGCTTTTTGCCCTGTTGGAGTAGAGAAGCTTGCTGACGAGTTTTTTGGCCGTCATTGCCAGGTGCGTTGAAGACAGGAGTTTCCCTCAACACGTGACTCCCCCGTCTGTAGTAGCTTACTGTAAGTGGCTGTACGATTCGCCAGGGCTCGAGCCTCACCGTCGGCGAGGATTCTTTCACCAAAGTTGCTGCGCCGACATACGAGAAGCCCTTGGCGGAGGCTTGACGAATATATGCCAACGACGGTGCTTGATTCACAAGCTGTTGCGGGAAAACTTCCTCTACCAAGGCTCGTCACAATAAATTTAAATCAATGTACTCGTACTTGCCCAGAGTGGTAGTCGGAGAAGAGCCAAATAAACCTGTGCTGGGATCAATGTCGCTTGAAAAACCTCCGCGGCTTGGCCACATAGAACGTTGCCCGCCAAGCTCACGATCTTCTACCAAGACGTGGGTTGCGCCTGTCGATGGATGCATGGATGCACCCGAGACACAAACTTGGCTTTTCTCTTCACCTGCAAGATTGGCGAAAGGTGGGAGCTGTTGTGAGGCGAGTCGATGCAAGGGCTCTGGACTTTGCGTATTACTCAACCTGTCGATCGTTTCGACCCGTCCACTTGAGGGTGAATGATGGGGCCGCTGCCTTTCAACCTGAAGAGCTAGCTTCGCTCGCCCTCGATGGGACTAGATGGGCTTCTCGACAGTCAACAGCGGGCTCTTGGGGTCCTCCTCGATGTGGGCATCTTTTTTCCATCTGCCGGTATACTTCAGCGGGTTCAGCTCGCCGCCGCACTTGGTCCACGTCATAAACTTAGGCGCCAGTCAAACCGCAGCTGAGGATGAGGAGTCGCATCTTGACGATGGGCCTGGGCCGTTCGCGTAAGCTCGCGAGGATAAACGGCACGCAAGCGACCACGGTGATGAGAATTGCATGATACCTCGATCTAGCACCAGCCTTGCAACCCGTATCAAAAAGCCCACAACAGTCGTCAAACCTTGCGGCGGTTGTTGGTGCTCCGTCTGCGTGATTTGAGAGAGAGAGGCCTCTGGAAGCTTGGCCCACATTCTCCTGTGTGGGCTTGTAAGTCAGACACGGCCCTGTTTCACGTCGGCCGTCGCTTCAGTATCCGCCATCCATCCATCCCATCGGCGCGCCCTCTCCCTCCACCTGATGTTGGGGTGGGTTTGCGGCGTTTCAGCATCTCAGGGCCGGGCATCGAGAATTGCTGGTGAGATGGGTCGCAAGGCACCCCGTTTCGTTTCCGCACGCAACAAACTGCCGACACACTAGCTCACCCGCTGGATCTTATTTCCTCCCCAAGGCTGGAGTTCGTATAGAGAGGGCTTGGCTAGCAAAGGAAGCTTTTCCCAACCTGCACATGTTGCCGATGAGCCGCTTGGGACCCCTTCTCCTCGGTCATCAATTCGAGCATGTGCTGAGATGGTAATCCCATCTCTGGATGATGGATGTGGGGGAACGGGGGATGCGCTAGCTGTGAGAGCATTTCGAGTATTACAACGTGCTTGGGGGTATGCACGAGTGCGCTTTGGGTCATAAACGGCCTGGAGGTGTCAAGGTCGACGTCAGAAGAGCAGATGAGCGACAGGATGAAATGAAAAGAGTGACGACATGAGCCGAGGCGGTACCTCCTGCAAGGCCGTAGTACCTTAGGCCGAGGCGACAGCGGTATCAATTGTTAGCAGCCGCCACATGTCTAGGTGCGAGGAAACCACGGGCGGGAATTCCCGGCAGATTTTGCGGGATGCAGAAGCAGGATGGAAAAGGTCGGAGTGCGAACTGGAGTTTGAACGCCCGCGATGAGATGTCCAGGGCCCGATTCTTTCCAGGAAAGAAGTGTCCCTCGTCGTGTGTTTTCCTACTACCTCCTGTTCCTAAAACCCATAGTTGCGGTGATGGTCTCCGAGAGAGGGAGAATTGTGGGGACACGGTCCGCACGGGCACCTTGATGGTTCCGGAGGCGGCGGCGATGGCCTCCAGACGAGGGCCCGGACTGCGGTGAAGAAGCGGAAGGGCATTGGAGGGAATTGGCCGGGACATTCGGCCGGATGAACTGCATTTTCGGGGCTCGGGAAGTGGTCGGGTATGGGGACCAATTTTGGGCAGGACAACTCCATGCCATGACACGCTAACCCAGATCCATGAACTCCTCAAGCCCGAGATAAGACGTGCTAGCTCGGGGGTCTTCGGAGAAACGGCATTTGGAGCTTGCGGGTACTAGTGGTCATTCTTCGGGGGAGGGGGGTGACATGGGCGGATGAGAACCTTAGTTCATAATATTTCGAGTGAATAAAGGGAAGTTTCCGGAGCATGAGAGCTCACAAGCTGTACGTTTCTCGGGGGAAAGGCGGGTTGGTGCTATCCAAATGGCATGTGCGCGAGAGGCTTTGCGGAAGATGACTGCCGTAGTATAAACAGTCTGGAGGTGTAGACGATTCGTCTGGTGGCTGGTGAGGGGGAACGGAAACCGGAGTCGGGGGTCAAGCCCAGTTAGACTTGCGAGATATTAGCGACGGATGTGTAAAAGATAAAGTAGTGATTGGGTGCGATGGTCGACAGCGGGTAAGAATGTCACGAAAAAAAAGAGCGCGCGACGGAGACACGTCCTGAGTCATCCTCGTAGGCCGCCTTGCTATCGCGAAATTAGCGGCCAGCCAGCGCAGATGGTGAAAGTGCGACGGCCCGAAAGTGCGGGAGAAGATTTTAGTGACAAAACGCCGGGATTCGGCCGGGGCATGGCCGGTGCTTCTTGTTTGGATCGAGGCCGCCGGCAGAAAAGGCGCGGCGCAAGGGAAAAAAAACCAATGAACCTTACCCAGCCAAGACAGACCAAAACCATAGTAAAAAAAAAAAAAAAAAAAAAAAAGCAACGAGGCAAAAGGGCAAGAGACGCCCTGAGGCCCGCTCAAGCCCACCCTGAAGAGGCCCAGAAGTTCATAACCCAAGCTGGAAGATGACCAAACACTGATAGGGCAAAAACAAGCGCTCCATTGGGAGAGGACTGCGGCTGCGCGGGCGGCGGGCGGCAGTAGAGAGGATCCCGCCCCAAGGGCACCTCAGTGAATCCCCTCACGTGCCCCTGTATGCCCAGCATGCTTAACATGCCTGAGGTACTTCGTATCCGTACCTAGTAATTGAGTGGGAGGGAACTCTGTATGCGCAAGGTAAGCAGCTAACAAGGCATAAAAGGCAGTCCCGGGCCAAGACTTATCGGCAGCACATCGCTCTCACGGCCGGCCACTGGTTGCCGCAAACAGCCTACCCAATCACACGCTACCATTTACGTCCAAGCTTCAGTCATTGCTGGCGGCGGAGCGCGCTATCTCTGACCTCACCCCCGTAGCACCTGAAATTTTCTGCAAGCTGCCAAAAAATACCGCCAGGTTGGGAGGGTCCAGCCGCCAGCCTGCAAACTCGCGGTTTGCTGCGTCACACATTCGATTCCCACCCCCAAGAGCCCCAATTCCTGTCTTCCAGCTTGCCCGCGCATCCATAATTACCGTCTCCGAATTTCCTCCCTCCTCCGATTTCCATTTTTCTTTCCTTTTCCTTCCTCCACTCGAGCGTCGCATCCTCTTGCTTCGCAATCAAGAACCATCTTGGGTCACCGGGGACCTCCCTCTCCATCACCAATTGAAGCAATGGCTTCGTCCGCCAGAGCCATGAGCTCCCTTCGCGCAGCCCAGCAGCTGGTGCCGAAAGCTCCGCGTGCTGCCAATGCCGGTCGCAGAACCCTCACGACCACCTCCAGACAGTCCCTCAGAACCGTCGCCGCAAGGCCGAGAGTCGCCGCCCTTCCACAGGTCAGAACCGTTACGCGCCAGCTCACCAGAAACTACGCCGATGTCGCTCCCAAGAAGGCTGGCAAGGTCCGCAAGACCTTCAGATGGGCCTGGCGCTTGACCTACCTCTCCGCCTTGGGTCTCTTCGCCTACATCGGATACGTTGTCTACGATGACAGACACCCCGAGGATCAGGTCGAGCTGGACCCCAGCAAGAAGACGCTGGTTATCCTCGGTGAGTTCCTCACTTGACGGCGCGCCAAACGCGTTTGTGTGTGCTGACAACTTGAAACAGGCACTGGCTGGGGATCCGTCTCTCTCTTGAAGAAGCTGGACACGGAAAACTACAATGTCGTTGTCATCTCGCCCAGAAACTACTTCCTCTTCACCCCTCTTCTCCCGTCCTGCACCACCGGCACTATTGAGCACCGCTCCATCATGGAGCCCATCCGAACCATCCTCCGCCACAAGAAGGCCGCTGTTAAGTTCTACGAAGCTGAGGCCAGCTCCGTCGACCCCGAAAGGAAGGTTGTCAAGATCCTGGATACGTCGGAGATTAAGGGCACCACATCCGAGACTGAGGTCGCCTACGACTTGCTGGTTGTCGGTGTCGGAGCTGAGAACGCCACCTTCGGTATCCCGGGTGTGCGTGAGAACTCTTGCTTCTTGAAGGAGATTAACGACGCCCAGGCGATCCGTAAGAAGATTATGGACTGCGTCGAAACCGCCGCCTTCAAGGATCAGTCTGCCGAGGACGTCAGCCGTCTCATGCACATGGTGGTTGTTGGCGGTGGCCCGACTGGTGTCGAGTTCGCCGGTGAGCTGCAAGACTTTTTCGAGCAGGACATCAAGCGTCTGGTTCCTGAGATTGCCGACCGCTTCAAGGTCACCCTGATTGAGGCTCTCCCCAACGTTTTGCCCTCTTTCTCTAAGCAGCTGATTGAGTACACCGAGAAGACCTTTGAGGAGGAGAAGATTGATATTTTGACCAAGACCATGGTCAAGAAGGTCACCGACACCTACGTTCAGGCCGAGGGTACCGGTCCCGACGGAAAGAAGCAGACACTCACCATCCCCTACGGTCTCCTCGTCTGGGCTACTGGTAATGCGGTCCGCCCCATTATCCGCGACCTCATCTCCAAGATCCCCGCCCAGAAGGACTCCCGTCGAGGTTTGGCCGTCAACGAGTACCTCGTTGTTCAGGGCACCCGTGACATCTGGGCCATTGGCGACTGCGCCGTGGCCGGTTATGCCCCGACTGCTCAGGTCGCCGCGCAGGAGGGTAACTTCCTTGCGAGACTCTTCAACAACATGGCCAGAACCGAGACGCTCGAGAGCCGGGTCCAGGAGCTCAGCGCTAACTTGAACCTGAAGCCTGGCAACGCTGCCGAGGTTGCCAAGGAGATTGAGGCTCACGAGCGCCAGCTCCGCCGTATCAAGGACATCAAGCCCTTCCACTACTCTCACCAGGGCAGTCTGGCCTACATTGGCAGCGAAAAGGCTGTCGCCGACGTTGCCTGGTGGAACGGAAACATTGCCAGCGGTGGTACCATGACGTACTTCTTCTGGCGTAGCGCTTACCTTTCGATGTGCTTCAGCAGTAAGTTCTACATCACTCGAGTCTTTTGACTATTGTAACCACTTGCTAACGCTCTCTAGCTCGTAACCGTCTCCTCGTCGTCAATGACTGGCTCAAGTCCAAGGTCTTTGGTCGCGATATCTCGAGAGAATAAGCTAGGGGGGTTATTCTAGGCGTTCATGAATCATTTTCCTTGCCTCTGGCGCTGGGATATTTCACTTCTTGTTTTTCTTTTGTGTCCCGTAGCTTTCTTCGCGACCTTTTGTTATTTTACGGTGTCTGAGCGAAACGATAGAATCGATCGGCTTTAATGGCTGGGCGGGGAACGATAGACTGGGTAGAACTGGACACACGATCATCCTCCAGAGGGGAAACGCACGCACACACGACTACCCTGTAGGATTTTGTCGACTTTTTTGCCAATAACACCTGTACAATGTTACTACCGAGTATCTGCGGCCGCTGCGCTCGAACGCGTGAGAGTTGAATAATGATGAATGCAATGACTAGACACATACGACATCATGAATGCGGGTGCTTGTTGCATGTGATCTGATGTAGGTGAAGAGCTCCACGAGGTATTGTGTCGTTGAGCGGCGGGACGAACCGAAGCTACACAAAGCTTCCGAGCTACTGGAAATGCATGCGGGTGATCTCGGAAGATGACCAAGGCCTTCGTTCTCTCACCTGCGTGGCCAAGTTGGTTTGATGTCCTCGGGTGCTGGGCTACCCTCGGGATATCTGTAGTCCCCGAGAGTCGACACTTACCGAGGCAAAACGACTTGGACTGTGTAGTCGTTATAGGTTTAGAATGAGAACTCGTACAGCCAATCGGCAGGCCGAAATATGGTGTGTATCACTTAGCAAGCTCTTGTACATCTTGTTGATGTCCCGATCGTCGTTGCTGCGAGGTCCAGGCGACCGACTGAAATCAGACCATAAAGATCGGTTGACATGTGGGATCAGGGCACGTCTTCAGAGCAGCTTTTTCTCCCTTGCCGCATGTCGCCCCCTTAGTCTCACCCTAGATAAATAGCGCCGTCATCTCAGCCTTGCGTCTGCCTGTTACCCATTGAAGCAAGGTTCGCTCGGAAGGGGGCAGGGTTTCTAGTAAAGATATTATTCATACAACACGTGAGAAGTATGATTATTCTCAGTATTTCTTTGAGGTAATATTGTGATTTAGCGAAGCAGTCGACGAAAGGGTGCCTTAATCATTTCTTGATTGCATTTGTTGCACGGGAATTTCACACCCAGTTGAGGACCCTCGAGCAATCAAACACGCCCTCTGGAAATCGCTCCATCAAACGAGGCCGAGACAGTCAGCACCTCATACGGCTCGGACAAGCCAAGCACTTCACGGAATTCGTTTTCAAGCATCAATGAGTTAGTCAAACTTGTTGTATCGTGACGCAGCGCAGTCTAAATAGGCGTCGCGGAGTGTCGCCGCTTAGCCTAGCGGAGTTGACAATCCTCCCGGATCAGCGAGCACTCCAAACGGCTGGGGAACTCCCGGAGTTCCACTTTATTCCAGGAACCGGACCCGCACCGTCTCCTCCGGGGGCCCCATAGTGAACGACACGGGTCTTCGGGCCTCCCGCCGCCGCCCAAGTGCTCATCAGTGGACTGGCGTGATAGAACGGAGCTTGTCTCTGCTCCGGTATCAGCATGGTCAGAGTTGAATTTGCCCGCTGTCGTCGACTATTATTGCCGCGAACCGTTTTCCGGGACGGGGATTACCATTCATCATGTGGCCCCCAACAAATCTGGATCCTTGGAACTGCTCCCCATACAACCCCAGCGCGCCCAACATTCTGTTTCCCTACAAGATGCATGTTTATCTTAAGTTTGTACAAACGATACTTGAGAGACCCAACCGAAACTGTTGTCCGAACTCGACTCGACAATTAATCTGCAAGCCCGGCGCAAGGAAATCCTCCGGGTAATGCTACTAGACACAGAATGGCTACCGAGTCGATAATTTTGACGGTTCGACAGGATGGTCTGGTCCAGGAGTCGACCTCGAAAAAGACAGCCTTCTAAGTATGAAGGTCATCTCTTGGGGTCGGCTGAAGATGCGACGGGAGGTCTCCCGGCTCCGACGACGATGGCCGCAGTTGTGCAGAAATGGAACCACCCGAAGTCTTATCTCTCCAGGGTCTTGTCTTGTTTCGTGAATATGCTCGTGTCTGGTGCGAACGATGCCGCTTATGGTGTGAGTCCTACTCTGGCCCCCTCCTCACAACCTCGAGCGTGCGTAGCGACTGACTTCAGACCTAGGCTCTAATCCCCTATGTACTTTCTCTTCTGCCCGAACTGATGATAATCTACGGCTTACGCCCCTCCGCAACAGCTCGATAGCTAATACAACCTTTCCTACGTCGCGGTGTCCTTGGTCTTCATGTCTCCCTTTGTCCGCTACGTCCTCTCGGCATTCCTCAGCAACCATATCCATCTGAAGTTTGGCCAACGCGGCGTCGCCGTCATCGCTCCCATATGCCACATCGTCGCCTACATCAACATCTCCCAACACCCGCCCTACCCGGTGCTGGTCGCGGTGTTTGTCAGTTCCGGCTTGGGTAACGGTCTGAGTGGCGCCGGGTGGAACGCTTACATTGGGAATATGGCAAGGGCGAACGAGATCCTCGATGTCTTGCATGCTTCTTATGGCGCCGGTGGCGTGATTGCCCCGTCGATTGCCACGACCATTATCAATAAGGGCAACCTGGGTTGGTGGATGTTTTACTATGTCATGGTGAGTCTCAAGCCCACTATCCTTTACTCATGAGAGTGTGTTTGACATGATGGCATAAGGAGGAGGGAGTAGGAAGGAGATGGAGAGATGCAAGTCCAGGGAGAACAGGGGACAATTGGATTGTATGTATATGTGGATCATGCGGGCGAGGGAAAGAGAGACTCTATTTCTCCAGCATAGAGAATGGTGTTGATACTTCCTTTGCATTCGAACTGGAGGAGAGAGCTCTTCATACCATGGCACATGAAAACAGCGATTGCATTAGTTTGATTAATTTATAGTGACAATCTCGATATCTACTGATGAGCTAGAGAGCTAACTTGATTAGATATGGCTAAGGCAGGTTGGTTTAAAAGAGATCAAGGCAGCTTTCACAAGGACATTGATATCCCACATACCCTTGTGTATGTGAATGTACACTCTGTTATACTTTCTGGTTTCTTCCAAGAAATAGTCATGATGTAATTTCTCTGGTTCTTAAGATATAAAAACCATTTTGTACCATGATACAAAAGCCCTTATTTCCAATGAAAAAGTCGTGGAGGGGTACACAAGGGGTCTACGGCAGCTTTTCAGGCTTCATAAGTTGAGAAGGGTATCAAGAACGAGAATTCGAATCAACAGAACTGATCATTCTTTCTCTGGGGCTCAATGATTAGGTAATTTTCTCATTTCCTTATTTGAATGGTAATAGAGAAAGTGTCTAATAAAAGTAGTATAATGCCTCGTCCTTCATTAACGTGCTAAAACGTATTCGTATATGGACATGTCACTAGATGAGAGCCAGGGTGAATACATACCTTGGTAATAGAGATGGAAGGCTGGTCTGTGCACTGAATCGCCCTTTGAAACCAACGTCATTCTCGGCAAAACCTTTTTCCGAGTTTTCGACGCTTGGACCATACCAACCACGCTAGCTACCAAAAATTCTCATGATGGGTCCCTCACCTGCTGTCTCTGGCCCAGCTGCTGCTGTACATCCCCTAGCTCAACTCCAAGTTCGACTCCATCTCAACGACTTCCTTTTCGACAACCAAGGCCACTTCCTCAACAGCGAATTCACCTGTGAGCTTCAGCGCCAGCTATCCAACTTTGATTGGAAAAAGTCATTCCGCTTCGGTCAAAAGCTCGCGAACCTCGAACGACTCCAGAAGCTCGGATTCTACGTCGAATTCACACGTCCCTAGGCTACGTCCACAACCATCTCATCGAGATCATCGCGAACGAGCAACGCGCAGCCGAAACACACCACAAGAAGGAGCGCCGCTCTCAAACTACAGCCACCATGGTCCAGCTTACCGAGGTCGAGGACGAGCACTTCCAGTCCGGGCAGGCCGGTCCTATTGACGATGACGCTGACTACTCTGACACTGGTATGTATCATCTGCTAGCTTTCAGACATCGAGTAGGGTTTCGAGTTTTGGGTGATGATTTTGTCGCAAAGCTCCAGGCGTGTCGCATATGTCACACGCACAGTAACTGACCAAGACCGCAGACTCGGAAATTTCCGAGGACAGCGACTACAACCCTCGCGACGAGTCTTTCACCGAGCGCCTCTACGCCCTCAAGGACATTGTTCCCCCGACGACCCGTGGCTGGATCAGCAATAAGGTCGATTTTGGTGTCAGCGCCGTTCAGAACACGTGGTACTACGGCTCCCGCACCGTCTGGGTTGTCTGCGCCACCGCTCTCATGATCGGTGTTCCTCTGGCCACCTGCTGGGCAGAGGACCAGCAGATCGAGGGCATGGAGCGCGAATACCGCATGCGTGAGATGGGCGGTGATGCGCTCCTGGCTGCCGGCGAGGGCAAGGAGGGCAGCACGGCTGAGCAAGTCGGCCTCGCCCTCGATCGATCCGAGGCCAAGCCCGCTCTGTAAAACTAACAACACTCGAACACACACACACACACACACACACCAAGATAAAAAACACAATGCAAAGCGAAGCCAGGGAAGAAGAATGAGGCTAGCTTATCGAAGAAATCCGGAAATACGCGCACCAGAAGCTGACGACTGTACCACACACCACCCCTACCTTTCTCGGGCAGGTTTTGCGTTTTGCGCTTCGGAACTGTATATCAAGACAACTCTCTCACACTCTCACATCCACGACAACGGAACTTTGCATGCATTGCGGTCATGGATGGCTGGCGGGATGGGGTTTCCCTGCCATTATGCTTGTACTATAGGAATTCATGAGGCCGCGATTGGAATGGCCGTTTGCAATCATGACAAATTCTAATACCCATTCCGTTCCCATGAGCATCGTTTGACGTCATGACCCAACCGCTGCTATAATAGTGCATACTGGCTCCTCACTGGAAATGTAATGGCCGAGATGTGTTGCAGAAGCATCTAGCACCAACTGATGGTGTTCCGGCGCCAGTAGCCGCAGCAGCAGTAACACATCCGTGCAATCCTGGGGCATCCCTGTGAAACCTCACCAGGGTGAAGATGGGCCAAGAGAACGGCCCGAGTGAGCTTTCTCGATTTCCACTGTGCTTCAGTAGATGACCATTACTGCCCAAAGCCAAAGCTGGCAGGTGGTGGCTGGGATATTTAGACTGCATCTCAACCAGCGTGACCATCTCTATCCACGTTGCATACTTGACGTTGGCAACCTCAACATAAGCTGCCCAAGGTTGTGAAAATCATCAAAATGACGGGCGGTGACGATCGAGATTGATTGGTTAAACCTCATTTCGTTCCTCCATCTTCACATCAAGAACCTACTGCTACCAGGATGATTTGACCCCGCCATCGTGGCCACAGGGAGGACGGCAAGCCTGGCTGTGGCGGTGCGAGGGAGTAAGCTCTTCTTCTGCAGGACTTGTAGTGTTCGCTGCTTCTGGTGTTGTTTCTCTGTGGTCGAAATCTACTACTCCTTTTTGACGATTTGATACAACGACCAAGGCAACAACATTGAAGAGTCCTTATAGATAATGGCGTCAGTCAGCTAGAAGACGCAATCAAAGTCTTCTTTACATGTGTAAGGGCTACCTTACGAACTCCTTCAGGTGGTGCTTTTGGGAAAAGTTATCGAAATTTTGGCCCTCCGTCGATTAGCCATCAATTTAGAGAGATTTCTTCTTGCAGAGAGACCTAAAAACGCGGTTGAATGTGCTAGCACATTACCGTCGGTCTTGCGAGTAATCAATGCAAGCTTATTTTCGTCTTCGGAAAGTTGACTGATTACCGGGCGATGTTGTGCAAGTAAGCCGAATGTGGCAACATTCTCCTAATGCCCACTTGCCTTGAATCCCAATTCAAAACTTTGTGGAAAAAACTAGACAAAGAGCAGGAATGAGGTCATCTGCAAGACTTCAAAAGCCTCAAAGTGACACGGAGTCTAGCAAAGCAATTGTGCTGGCGGTCACCGGGAAATCTCACTCCACGGGGGCGTAGAAAATCCGGGCCTTCGACTCCGGGATCGGCACCTTCGGCCCGCTCCGACACGGCCAACTGGCGGGACCACGTCGGGAAACCTGCATCGCACAGTCATCGAGCAAACCGTCAACTTTTCCATGTTCAGTGTCACCGGACTGTTGTGGCCCTTGTCACTCCTTCCCGCAACCTAGTCCTCCTCTCACGGTAACGTCGCTTAAACTCCCCCATGGGTTTCTACCATTCACCTCTTTTTCTGTTTCTCGCCCGGTCACATCGCTCGCTCGCCCGCCCGCACAGACAGCCTTTTTCTATTTGATCCAGAAGGGGCTTGAGTGATTATATTTCGCAGCTGATTAGGAGGGATTCTTATCAAACACCATTTGCAACTTCTAGCAAGCTGGAAATTCTCAAAAAAATTAAAAATTAAACGTAGCATCGAGACAAAAATGGGTTCACATCCAACATTAGATATGGACTTCGTTGCTCTTCCCAAAATCGAGGTATAATTGAAGCAACTTGGGAACCAAGAATTATTGCTACAGAAACCCTGTCTGACAGACTCACAGCTCCACGCTCATTTGACGGGTAGCGTAAGCCGTCGCACCCTCCACGACATCTGGGTCCTCAAACGCGAGGCAGGTGAAACAGATCTCGAGGATCCTCTCGTCGTGATGCCGGACGGCAAACACGACTACGACCTCACCACGTAAATCTCACTTTCTATCCTCGAAGCCCTCCGCCTCGGCCAGACTCGTGCCTCATCTAATCACCAACCTCACAGCTTCTTCCCCCTCTTTTCGTCTTACATCTACAACCTCATCACCGACGTCGAGACCCTCCACACAGCAACCCTCTCAGTCCTCAAAGACTTCCACGCAGACGGCGTGACCTACCTCGAGCTTCGCACCACCCCGCGCTCCCTACCCTCCCCAATGCCCCAGCCGCCCTCCGTCTATGTCTCCACCATCCTTTCCGCGATTGCCTTCTTCGAGGCCTCCCACCCGGGACAGGAGACAATGCGCACCCGCCTAATCCTCTCAGTCGACCGCCGCCACACCCCAGCGCAAGCCCACGAAACAGTCCGTCTCGCCGCCTCCTTCCGCGACCGCGGCGTTGTCGGCGTCGACCTTTGCGGCGACCCCGCGGCCCGCGTCCACACTGGGGTACCGGGCCAGGACGATGTCTCCATTTTTCGCAGTGCCTTTGCGGAGGCTCGGAGGCTTGGCCTTGGCATCACGATCCACTTTGGCGAAGCCGAGTGCTCCGGTCACCCGGCGGAGCTCGCGGAGATTTTGTCGTGGTCGCCGCGGAGGCTGGGCCATGTCATCCACCTCGGCGAGGACGTCAAGCGAGAGATTTTCGAGCGCGGGATCGGACTTGAGCTGTGCCTCAGCTGCAACGTCCACGCGCGCATGGTGACGAGCGGGTTTGAGGGGCATCATTTCGGGGAGTGGTGGGGTATGGAGGGGAGCTTGATATCTCTAGGCGTACGTTGCCAAAAAAAAAAGTTACCCCTTTCCCTGGAATCTATCACGGTGTCCTCTGGACAGTGCTTGCTCTGCGAGGTGATGCTAGCTGACTTTTCGAATCAACAAAAATAGACTGACGACGTCGGTGTCTTTGGCAGCCCATTATCCAACGAATATAGGCTGGTAGCGGAGCATTTCAAGCTCTCCCGAGACGAAATCTGCGCGCTTGCCCGCCGGGGTATAGATTCCATCTTTGCAGACGATGCCGAAAAAGAGCGTCTCCGGCAAATGATGTGGAAACCCGCCAGGGTTGAGAAATAAATGAACATCGCATCGATGAACGAATAGACCGAAAGACTAGCAAGGACCTGCTGCTGTGTGAATGTCACGATGCCGGCGCGGGCATCGGCTGCGATTCTCAACAGGCCAACAACCTTTCTTGTACAGGAAGTAACTCGAGTCACCCGGCGCCTACCTATAACGTCAATTCGTTGACCGTTCCTTGCGAGGGGCCGGTACAACAGCCCGAGGGCCGTACGTTTGCTTTGGAGTTTCTGAATCGGGTCGAGGCTTCGTATTGCCGCTATGGGGCTCTGCCGCGTACTAGCACTAATCTTGCCGACCTCCGTGAGATAGAGGGTGATTGGGTAGCTCGGCAGAGGATTTTAGTTGACCTTCGAAGCAAGAGCCTTTTTCTTTCTTTCTTTCTTTTTTTTGGTGGTTTGATGGATATCCCCTGGCCCGCGAGCATTTTGTCTGCTATGCGGGCGGCTGTTGACTGCCCACATGTATCGGAGTCGATGTCGTCGGTTCGTTTCAAACCTGGAAACCTACAGAATACATGTTTAGCTTTGCTTTCGGTTCCTTCCAACTTACCGAGTAACATACCGTCCTCAAGCGCGACTCGATACGCAGCGGGTTCTTGCTGGACCGGGTCTGGCCTAGCTTGGATCTGGTCTGGTCCGACTCCGTCTCTTCATGCCAATTTGTCATGTTCTTTTTCGTTCTACCAAATGAAGTAAGGCAGCCGATTCCTTACTACTATGGCTCACTGCTCCATGGCATCGACTAAGAACCGACATGGCTTTCAGAAACCTACCCTACTCCATAGTAGTCTGCCTGGCTAGCTACTCCAGCAGCATCCATGGATCGACGTACACTATGCTGAAATGAGACATGACTCTATAATTAGCTTCACAGAACTTTGATGTTCTTCTCCAGTTATTCGGCTGCAAATAATCCCAGTCGGACCTTTCGAAGCGTATTGCAGTCGTTCGCCGTCTTTCCAAAGTCGTCAGAGCGGCCCAAAATTGCTACCACGAATAACTGGGGTGTGCAGTGACTACTATTGGTGCCACATGCAAATCATTGCATTCAATGCTCAAATCGAGATGGCCGCTGCATAATTGCTCAGTGTGTAAGCTACTTGCTGTCCCTTATGAACCAAAAGGGTTGGAGCAAGATCTCTGAGATGGTTCCCGCTAGACCGAACGAGCGTTTGCCAGCAGCAGGGACATGCCAAGCTGCCAGGAGGGTCCATCGCCCTGTGCTGCGCAGAAGGACAAGAATCCGGCCAGTCGTAGGGCTAAGAAACGGCCAAATGTCTCGTCTGCTGCAGCCTCGAGGTTTCGTGGTGGTCCGCTCGTGAAGTGTGCCACACGAGTCCTCCTGCCTCGGCCCTATGAGCACAAAAGAACGGGGTGGCATTTGTTGCACTTCTACCTGGAGTAGGGCCCGCGCAATCCGCGGACTGCCATTCAGGAGTGCACTCCGGACCAGGTTCGCGAATGACCATTGCAGTACATTGTCGGTATTCGTCTTTGCATTTCGTTGAGACGACACACAGACCTCGTCAATATCCTAGATCATTAAAGGGTGCCAGACGAGATCCATCATGCCACCCGCAGGAAAGGTGATCCCGGCGTTGGAATGTGAAACGGTAAAACATGGAGCGAGCAGCACAAGAAAGCATCTTTCAGAGGCCGCGGGTAGCTTAGAGGATAGGGATATCACGAGGCGGGTACCCGTACCAACGTTCAGTGCAAGCCTCAAAGTGACAAAGGGGATGCCACCAATTCGTGCAAACGGATTCTACCCGTACTCCCGGGTGGAGCAGGATCCATGGGAGCCAAAGCGTTTCCCGCCGAGCGGAGAAGAAGTGCGTTTGCCCATTGGTGGTCGGCGGTCGAAGATACTTCAAGTGCCGGTCACAAGATTTACCACAACGGATTTTGATTTTGGGCCATGTACCTCGTTCTGGAATTCCCTGTTTCTATCAACACTCAATGACCAAATGGTCTGTCATCACGTAGGTTTGTGGAGATATACGAAATCCTGGGGACTTTACCTCGCCGAATTGGAACAGGGGCGACGCAGTGAATCTGCCTGTCGGTGACGTTGACTGTGGCATATCTGTCAAAGCTTCGACCTACCTGGGGGACATTGAAGAATTGGCTGTCAAATTCGGTCCCCTTTGATCCTTCTTGTGATATGCTTCGCCAATCAGACGAGCTGCCATTATGCGCCATTGTGCTTTGATGGAGGCGTGACCAAACCAAGTTTGGTTAGGGGTTGAACTTGGACGGCCGACGTACCACACAGTGCGAGCGAGATCGTACACAGCTTTTGATATTCGACATCGTCCGCCGTCAGCAGAGGTATGTAGTTGTATTAGCGTACAAGCTACGTAAGCTATGAGTGCTATGCGCTTGGCAAATCTTATCCTAGCAGGAGGGCTTGTCCGGCTGTCAGGATGACATCGCCGGCGAGGGTGTCATCGCCAGAATTCCCCTAGCCAGTCGATATGTCGGCGTTGTCGTAACTTGTCCGTTAGATGCCGGGATTGCCGGATGATGGCCTGTCAAGATGACGGAAATTTGTACCTGAGTCCAGGGCAGTCCAAGGTAGTACAAAAGATTTCTGGCTTTCCACAAGCTTACTCTTGGAGCTAGTGGACAGTGGCGCAAGGTTGGGGCAGAAGACGGGTACCAACAGTGATGGGCCCCCTTGCCAAGATGATAGGAGCAGGAGCTTCAAGGCATGGTCGACAAATCCAGAAGTCAAGGCGAATCGGCTTCTTTTGTTCTCCATACGTGAGCAGGCGACGTGCAAGTGTTGGATATATTTGGGGGGGGATGTTCAATTTGATTTGTGTCCCTTTACCCTTCAGACGACACCAGCAACGCAATCTAGCACCGTGTGTACTATCTACACAACTTCCGAGAGTAGTTCAATCTAGTGCTAATACGGGAGTATAGGTTTTGAAAGTAGTCAATGATAGGAGTATGACGACCCAGTCGAAGAAGTGAGAGTTTGGTGTTGACCTGGAATCGGAAGCATACCAATGCCCGTGACTGATGTCCGACGGGGATTGTCTGACAGTCATGCCTTCCGCCCAGAGAGTATAATAGTGACAATCCTGGTGGGACGCTCGAAGAGTGTATGTCAGTATTCGTTTGATATCGGCAATCTTCTCCCGCCACAGGGCCATCATCGACATGGATAGTACAGCGAATCCAGGCGAGACAAGTTTTGCTTCGGGACCTCGAAAAGAGGCAACTTGGGAAGCTCGGGGCTTGCAGTTGCACCGGCTGGCTCGAGATCTCAAGGCTGGGTAGCCTGTCACGCCAAAACCACTGGGAGACGACGACCTTCGAGGATGAAAGCTTCGTTGCGGATATCTCCTCAAAGCTTCGACAGCGAGAAGAAGGAGCCGTTGGCTGGGAAAGACGCCGCCAAGGTCCGCGAGGTGGGCAAAAGATTTATCGAAGCGCCAGGCCGTGAGCTGTAGTGGTTGTGATAAGGTCTGACTTGAGATGAGATCGAGCAATTGGGACGACAGCAAAACTGATGATGTCGGAAAAGCAAACAGCCAGCAGGGAGCTAGGATGGGTTGCGGCCTTTCTGTACAACAAGGAAATGAGCGGTTCGCCCAATACCCCGAGGACCCCGGCTGGCTGACGACGGCTCCCACCTGGCTAGCAGCTCAGCAAGGAAGGCATTTGTCTTTCTCGTCTATGCCCTTCGCCTAATCCGTGATTGTCGCCACCTGACATCTGGGGATTTCCCGAACAACGTTGGAGTCAGATCTGCACTTGGACCAAGGGCTCGTCATGATCGTTATCCTAGTCCGGGTCTTCATCCTAGCCCTAGTCCCCTCCATCTGCAAAGCTATCAAGAGCTGATGACTTTGTTGATCGCTCTGGCTACCTTTCTGAAGAATAAGGTTTTCGGATGGTTCGCCGAAAAGTTTGCCAACGTCCACCAGATTGGTATGACCAAGTCGCATTTTACGCGTTCTGTCTGTGTTTAGCTTTCGAGTCCTCATCGTTTTCCTTGCTGATCGGTATCGCTGCTGGCGCTTGCTTGCACTGGGTTGTCGACTGCTGATCGTTTCCGGGGAGAGGCCAGGGTCTTCCGAGTATGTGTGTTTGTGTGTGTTGCGATGGTTATGCGTGTCTAGTTCAAACGGAGAGGTGATGCCGGTCGGCCATCAGCAACATGAGGCGAGGGGACGTTGTCAAAGTGGTGCCGTTTGGCGAGCGCTGCCGACGCGGCCTGCGTGCTTTCGCCACCCTACGCTGTTTTCTGGCATTGACAATGTCCATGTCGTCGGCGATCGGCTGAATGAAAAGTATGAGCGGTGCGTCTCGAGGAAACGCTATGAAAAGTGTCGGGCCTGCAGCGTCTAAAGCCTCCTGACACTAGCGACCGACCTCAGAACAGGAATGTAATAGCATAGTAATGGCGGTTTACTACGTACGAACGTTCTTCAATTTGATGAGGTGAGGTGGACGTGGAGAGGAAATGCGGTGCACAGGTCGCGGAACAGCCGGTGCAAAGAGTGGTAGTTGCTTGTTACCTTGTCAGGGATGTCCCAACATCCAAGACATGGACCTGGCTGCATCCTGCATCGAAGTACGTATCCGTACACCAGGTAGCTCATTTCGATGGGGAGTCGGTACCTGAGACTCTGGATACGGCCTAGTGTATGTATCCAATCTACTTTTTATGCAATGCATCTCAGCTAGAGCGTCCCACATTGCAAGGCATCCTACAGGTGAGGTGAGGTGAAGCTCAATGTGAGAGAAACACCGGGTCATCTGAGTGCTCCGTGATCACTGCGATACCTAGTACGTACGACTTCGCTTACTGATGGGATTACTGCCTTCCGCGTCGGCTGATCGTCTGTTGGTTTGTTGTATTTGGATTGAATGCCGTGCGGAAGAGGTAGCCAAGAAGCGCAAGCGCAAGATCCGCACCATTCAACTCCAACTCCAATGTAGAGGGGCATTGTGCGAATACAATGCGTGACTGAACAA